AGTGGACAGTAAGCCCGATTTTGCTCCCTCAAGGGCGTTCTTCAGGTTCCGCACACGAGTCTGTGACGTCTGGATACTGGTCTGGATCTTATGGTATGTACCGATAGAACTGTTGAAGCCCTGATGGTGTTCTAGCGAGCGACATCAGCAAAAAGGTGTCCACGAACCATCATCGTCAGATCCCACTCCCAACAAGTCCCACTCACCATTAACGACCGACTTCAGCGTCCGCTGTATCTGGTCATGGATCTCCAGGAACTCCGGTTCACGCTCAGCCTTACCCAACGTGCTCGTGTCCATCAGTTGCAGCGCCACCTGCACCGGAATACAACTTTCAGAAGCCACGAAGTCCCATTCCCGTTGAACCATCTGCAACACATCTGCGAATTCGGGAAGAAGTCAGCCCCAAATGGTATTTCCCAAGCAATCCCGACAACAGCGGAAGATAGCCTTTTCCGCTCCAGATAAATAGCGTTATCGCACCTTCAATGGCCTGAGAGCCTCCTCCCTGCGCCCCCGCGCGTCCAGCAGTGTTCATTACCCTATGCTCTCGTTCTCGTTCTCGTTCGCGTTCGCGTTCGCGTTCCCGTTCGCGTTCGCGGCTGCTGCTGCCTCCCAACCAACTCGTGTCCCCACGCGCCCGACCGTCTCGAGAGCCCAACGTCGCCCTCTCGGCATCGCCCTCCCTGGTTCTGGACCGCGACGACGAATGCTCGGGGTCGCGATCCCATCGGTCACGGCGTCGCTCCGGGGATTGAGCCGGCGACAAGGACGACTGCGACGCCTCCGGGTAGAAGCCACCATAGCCTCCAGGCCGGAGATCGCGGCCCCCTGATGCACCGCTGCTACCTCCGGCGCCACCACCGCCTCCCCCCCCTCCTCCTCCTCCATATCCATTCATCCCCAAGCTATTACTCCCGTTGCTCCCGTTGCTGCCGTACCCGCCATCACCGCGATCGTAGCGGCTGGTGTCGGAGTAGCCGTATCCGTTCGCGTAGGGGCTTCGGCCGCTCATGCCAGGTCACTTGTACTCGTACTTGTACTTGGAGGAATTCGATAATGGATAGGTAGTCGGAAAGAGCGATTTGCGCTTTTCTGGTGTGCACAGTGTGTGCAAGAAAATGTGGTCGGTCGGTCGGTCGGTCAGTCGGCTGGAATTCCCCCTCGATCTCGACCTCCGTAAGTCTGATCTGAGCACTGACGTAGTGGAATTAAGCAGGAGATGACACGAGCATGGTCGTTTGTCGGGGAAAAGTGTGGAGTAAATTCGGAGGTCGCGAGCGTTCAGGACCACAAGATTCTAGAAACGAGAGGCTTTCGTGGTTAGATCGGGTTGCGACAGGTCGTAGTGAAGGGATGCGGGATAAGATTGTTGTAGACAATCGGAGCTACAAGTGGAAACACCCGATTCCGCGAGGTGTCGCTTGGCCGGCCGTTTCTCCACATTCCGCCGCCCACCTTCCTCCGGCTTGCTTGGCCTGCCGTCCACGGTACAGCATCTTTTAATCCCACTCGAGAAAGAGTCCCTGAAGCCTTCGACTCTCTTAAAATATATCGTATTCCTAGACTAGACTCGAGCAAATGGCCCTATGATCCCATTCCCGGCAAGATTACAGCGCATCGTGGAGCACAGCTTCAAACTCGACAATAAGGCTAGGTATTGATCTAGGTATAATGCATTGGCCCCAGGCTCTATGTGAGGTTCATGGTATAAACAGGAGCTAACAGGCTCATTTGGAAATTGACTTGGTTTCCCGCTGAAGCCAACCCCGGGTGTATTCGTCGTTCTCGAAGAACTTGTGTGTCTTTTCCCAGACCTCAGCATGGTAATCATTCACCCACTTGAGCTCGGCACCAGTGAGAAGAGAGGGCTCAATCAGATTTTGGCCGATAGGAGCCATCGTGACGTGCTCGAAGCCCAACCAAGGCTTGTCACCGAACTTGTGCGTCGTCTGCACTTCGCGTGCCATGATAATGTCTAAGGCATCGTCAGCTACCTGCACCTTACTTGCATGTGCGTATAGGCTTACTCTCAATACGGATACCAAACTTTCCATCTTCGTAGAAGCCGGGTTCTGCTTTTGTCAGCGTCTAGAATGCTGAAGGTGAAAGGTCTAACCTACCGTCGGAGATGACGTTGCCAGGAGCAATGGGAACTTCAGTGTACTGCACGCGCGTGCCAATGCCAATGGGCCCTTCGTGCACGTTCTAACACAGAGTTAGCAAAGCAGGAATTCAGGGAGACTTCTTGATACTCACCAGGTAAGAACCGACTCCATGACCAGTTCCGTGCAGGTAATCGAGACCCTCCTTCCACAAGTGCTGTCGCGCAAGAGCATCAAGCGCAAAGCCACTGGTGCCCTTGGGAAATACCGCAGTGTCAATCGAGATAAGACCCTTCAGCACAAGAGTGAATGCCTTCTTCTCAAGCTCTGTAGGCTTGCCGAAGTGGAATGTACGGGTCACATCAGTTGTTCCATCCAAGTACTGAGCTCCGGAGTCACAGAGGTAGATGGCGCTAGGGTCAATGATGGCGCAGCTTCCCTTCTCGGGCTTGTAGTGGATGACGGCACCATTAGGGCCCGTGGAGGAGATAGTGTCAAAGGACAGACCAGCAAACAGATCGTGCTTGGATCGGATCTGCTCCAGCTTGTCTGCAGCATCCACTTCGTCCAGAGTTGTCTTCTTATTGACCAGCTCGTTCTCGAGCCAGGCCAGGTACTCCGACAAGGCTGCACCATCACGGATGTGACATGCCCGCATGCCTGCGAGCTCAACTTCATTCTTGACCGCCTTGGCATCGCCAATAGGGCTACGGACCTCCTCAACCTGCTCCTCGCCTCCAAGGCTAAGGCTCAGAGCCCAAGAAGCCCTGTTAGATACAAGGAACTTAGAAGACGCACCCTCGGCTTGCTGCTTCCGAGCCTCGCTTAGTGCTTTGGCATCCGCGAAGATCGAGTCATAAGGCTTGACCACGACGTCTTGACCAAGGTGGGCCTTCACCTCTGGCGTAAGCTTATCATCATCGACGTAGATGTCAACAGTGGTGGGGGTAACGATAGCGTATGAGAAGAACACGGGGTTGTAGGGAATACTGGATACGGGTCGTTTAGCTCAGAACCGGGTGCAGAATGACGTCGTGGCAAAAGCTGGGTGTGAGAAACTTACTCAGTGCCACGAAGGTTGAACAGCCAAGCAATCTCATCCAACATTGCTATCGTTCGTTAGTCAATACGAATGTAGAGGGCCAATGTAGCCCGCCAGGTGAAGACCCACAGATAACGAAGCCAGCAGCCTTCTTATTTTCCAGTTCCTTGCGCAGATCCTGGATCTTCTCCTGGAAGCTCTTGCCAGCATACTTCTCCGGATGAACAGTCACCTTCTCCCGCGGAGGAGCAGGTTTGTCATTCTTCCAGACCAAGTCAACAAGATTCTGCTGGACGCCAACAAGGGACGATCCCTTCTTCTTCAGAGTCTCTGAAAGACTACGGGCGCCAGCTGAGAGCAGTTAGCTTAAGGATATTTGCTGGTCGCAAAGCGCACTACCTCACTTACAGGCTGTAATCAAAGCTGGGTCGACACCAACCACCTTGCCACCCTCGGCCTGCTCCGTGGTCCTAAATCCAAAGTTAGCTTCAGAGGTAGGATAGCCATTATCATTTAACCTCCATACCATTCTTGCCAGGTTGGAACACCCTCAACGCCCCGCTTCAGCAGCGCCCAGTTGCTGTCAAGCTGCTTGGCAGCCTGGTTGAAGTAACGGCCGTCTGTGGACAATGCTGCCTTGGACAAGGAGATGATGGCCGTTCCAGCCGAGCCGGAGAAACCCGAGATGAACTCTATCGAGCGAAGTGTGAGTTATATGATTATCGATCCGGCGCCGTAGACAAGAGTCGCGGAAAGGGCATAAGGTTGGTATTCTAACCTCGACGGCCGTCGCATGGCGCAATGTATTCCGACTGGTGACTATCTTCCGAAGGAACGACTTAATGATGGGTAAGAATCTTGACGTCAACAGATACTGTGAGTTCATTGGGGTTTCATACTATATACATCCACCTTGTGCTCTTGCATCAACTGCCGTAGCTTGGCCAGGCGCTCGGAGGTGTTCACGGTCTCCATCTCGATGATGAAGCGCGGGGCGGAGGTGGAAAAGGGCCTCAAACGGGGAAGGGGTAACTTGCGAGCCGATCGGAAAGCTGATATCCAAGAAAGGCGGATTGGAGGGTGCGAAAAAAGCATCTACTGGCGAGGATTTGCAAAGGACAGCTGCAAGTGTCCGGGGGAGAAGGTGGGATTCAAACGAGCCGGGGTTGCACAAAGCACGCAAGGCCCGTGATCAAAGGTAGCGACGATAGGTGGGGGGTGGGGAGAGAAAGGCAAGGGAAGGGCAAGATACAACGGTCGTGTGCACAAGAGCGAGCGAGAGTGGAGGATACTAGCTGTTGACTTAGTATTCTATTCGATAAGGTGAGTTGAATGGTGGTGGTGAGTACGTAAGAGAAGTCCAGTTCTCCGTAGGAGCTCCGATGGCAGATTAAAGTGGGACCCTTTGCCGGCCTTCCTTTGCCGACTGTGGAAGTGGGTAACTGTAACTGTAACTGCCACGAGAGATCGGTATCGTCATTACCGGACGGTAACTTTCTTTTTTTTTTTTTCATTTCAAACCTGATTTCTTACCTATACAAGTCGTACCCCTCAAAAGCACGAAGATGACTATGCTGACATTGTCGCAAACTCAACCATTGTAGGTTCTTGGGATTGAGGTCAAATGGGTTTAAAATTTGGTGATTAATCGCATTCTTTGACCAAGCGTTGCTGAAGCGATCATGGACCGTTGGTTGGGAATCAAACAACGTCCTGCAGATGTTAGCCCAGCTGGTCACATGCTTCTCTCAATATCATCCCTCCCCCCGACAACAACTGGAACCTTGAATGCCCTGATCGTCATCATCCAAAGCTAACCATTCTTCAACTAGAACCACTGATTACGGTAGCCTTCCCCCTCCATCCCACTTCTCACCGCCTGACCTTTCGGTGATAGTGTTATCAGCACGTGACACCCCTTAAATATCGATAGTTATCGCTCATCATCTACTATCTATATTCTTCTTTCCTCTCGCAAGGAGGCCCTCAGTGTTGCGGCCATGTCTGGGGATATTCCAGGTCAAGCCTCAGATGTGCACCTGCTCATCAATGAGGCAAAGGCAGTAAGTTGAGTTGTCTTCTCCGAGCCAATTGAGGGATCGAGGGCTGAAAGCCATTCCTGGTTCTAGCTAGTGTCGCAGCTCTATGATCCGGCAAATACTGGCAACCCCGCCAAGATTAAGGCGATCCAAGAGCACCTGCAGAGTCTTCAGAAAGGCCCTCAAGCATGGCTCATCGCAAATCACCTTCTCGCTGAGGACAACACTGACCTGAGATTCTTTGGAGCTCTGACTTTCACTGTAAAAATAAATCAGGATTGGTGCGTGTCCTGCTAGCGACTTCATTGTGCGAGACCTTCTGACTTCAGCCGTAGGCAACACCTGAGCACAGAAGAAGCCCAGGAGCTACTAGGACGGCTGCTTGATCATTATGTTATGTTGGTCAATGGTGGCGAGCGTTCTTTAGTCGTACGAAAACTAGCTTCCAGCTTAGCGACCATCTTCCTGAAACCCAACGCTCCTTGGACACGGGCACTCTGCAATCTAGCGGCTTCCTTAGCAGATGGCAAGTATGTCTCGGAGGAACATTGCAAGGATGTCGACCTGAGAAATACCGTGCTCCCCACGTTGTCTGAGGGCCAGGTAACTTCCTTGCTCTACTTCTCTAATACTCTTGGAGAGGAGATTCACAAATGGAGCTCCGAAGCCCGTCGCAATCGAGATGATCACCCGGTTTCTGAGAACATCAAGGATGCTTTTGTACTTGTCGACGTCGTTCTTGGTCACATACTGCAGCAGGTTGCATCAGGGGCTCACTTGTCTGAGGATAGTCTTGGGGATGAAGCCATTAATTCCTACCAGGTGAGATCAGTTGTCTTCTGTGCTCCTGTCTCATCTAACATTTGGTGTAATAGACATGGATGTCCGTCCGAAGCGCATTTCAGCTTCGTGACACGATACCTGTATCGCAACTCGCTCCTACTACGACCTACGTGATTCAATGCATGAGGATTCCAGTTCTGTCGAAAACTGCGACCCAAGTCGTGGTCGAGTTGATAGATTGGCGGGACACAATCTTCACTCCAGGTCATATCAGCGCCATCTTGGACTATATTGTTTGTGACTATGGTACTGCGCATATTGCTTCATTGATGGAGGGCGATTTCGAGGATGAAAATTTGACCTTCTTGGAGCTTCTCCTGGCATATTCAACACTACAGCAACGGGATCTGCTAACGACAGCATTGGACCCGCAACATGAGAAAGTACTCGCTCTGCTACACACACTTTTTAAAGCGCCTGGCTATGCATCGGTGGACGATTCGGCTTCTCCTTTGGTTCTTGAATGGTGGACTGAGGTTGCCGATGATCTTCAGGAAATATATGTGGATTCGGAAGATCAAACGGGGCTTGGACCTGCGAAGCACAACCTTGCTCGTGCAGCATTGGATTGTTTCGAGAAGCTCAAGTACCCCAGTCCAGCAGAGTTGCAAGACTGGAGCGACGATGAACGCAGTGAGTTCGGGGCTTTTCGGCGGGACGTCTGTGACTTTCTTCTGGCGATATATCCAATGCTGGGTGTAGAACTGGTTCAGGTCTTTCAGGAGCGAGCGAGATCGTCGCTTCAACAGCAGGATTGGCGAACGTTCGAGGCCTCCATCTTCTGCGTTGCTCAGCTCTCTGAGGCTGTCGATGAGAACCAACACGCTGATGAATGCCTCAATTCAATATTCTTCTGTGATGAATTCGCAAACTTATGTGAGGGGAACGGAGTAGTCATCCCAGACAAACCACGTCAAACGTTGGTGGATATGCTCGGAAAATATCAGTCATACTTTGAGCGCACACATGCTCTGCTTCCCCGGGTGCTAACGTTTCTCTTTGCGTCCCTCGAAGTTGGTCCCTGCGCGTCAGCAGCGTCCAAGTCGATCGCATATCTCTGCAAGTCATGCCGCAATGCGCTTACGCTGGAGCTGCCTGCCTTCATTGGGCAATTTGAGCAATTCCGCTTCAAGCCCACAGCTACGGCTCACACTATGGAGAAAGTGCTGGAGGGCATCGCTGCGATCATACAAACCGTACCCGAGGATGGCGCAAAAGCCCAGTACCTCGAGCAAATCCTTCGGATTTTTCATGAGCAGGCAACCGCAGCCCGTGAAGAAGCTGCCAATGGGCTCATTGAGCAAGCACAGAGCCGTGCCCAGCTCGTGCTACGATGCGTTGCCAGCGTTGGCAAGGGTCTCCGAACCGATGGTGAGATCAACTTAGACTCTCACGAAGACAAGGAAGCAGATGCTTACCCGCCAACTTTCTGGAATATGGGCGATGGGGCTGTTGTACAGAACCTCATCATGCAGTCCATGCAGCTCCTCATGACTGGTTTCCCTGTTGATGTGGCGATTATCGAAGCTACCTGCGACATACTAAAAGCCGGCTACACTGAGCGGACGGGCCCCTATGTGTTCCCACCGATGATGACTGTGAATTTTGTGAAGAGTATCCCCCTGGGTAGTGCGGGTACCGATATGGTCATGGGCACTGCCTCCGCCTTTCTTGCATCACACAGCTCCCATCCACAGCGAATTCGTGATGAGACCGTTGCGTTGATCGTCCACGTTTACGAGACATTCTGCTGGATGCATGAGAAACCAGAGTGCTACGATCCCGAAGTCGCCAACAGCGGGATCGATTTCCTGACGCGCTTGCTTCCGAAATACCACCCTTTCCTCTTCGCGCTCACCTCTATACCGCAGGAACCCGGCCCGACGGCCACTCAGTCGCGACCAACTATTCTAAACGCTATCTTGAACTTCACACTGATCTCACTGCAAGGCCCCGAACCCCTTCCGCTCCGCTCCGCCTCGCAATTCTGGGTGAGCGTGTTGAACCTCCCCGGTGATGCCCCACCTATTCAGAATGCCATCCGTGAATGTCTGCCTGCCCTCTGTCGGATTTTGATGACACAATTCGCCGGCAGATGTGCCCGGTCGGATCTCGAGCACCTGTGCGAGGTGCTTCGCAAAGTCATTTTCAAGCAACAGGGTGCGGCTCGGCCGCATCTTACTGCGGCGTTGGCCGAGCTGGATGAGGCCGTTGATCAACACCAGCGACCAGCCGTCACACCAGAAGAACGACAACGCTTCCTTGCGTCATTGTTGGCCGCAAGGGGCGCCAGAACACAGACCAGTCAATTGGTACGCTCGTTCTGGGTCAAGTGCCGGGGTGACTCGTTCAATTACGTCGGATAGGGATCGTAGGATAGTCTGAACAGGTTCAAACAATAACTATTGGAACTGAGGTCCATTCAGAACAGGGTTTGGTGCCAAGCAAATCGTAAAGACTCTATGGTGTCGCAATACCATTGTAATATGCAGGTCATGCAGAAAAAGTGTGTATGGGGGGGTTCCAATGTGTGATGCGAAGAAGGAACGAAAATTGTCAGCGATTTTGAAGTCTCAGACATGGGCAATCTGGAACAAGCCCTTGAATTCTTGGTGGTTGAATGGTTGAACTATCTGAGTTCTCAAGGTGGGCAAATTCGCTTGGTAAATCGCCCCGGATCACATGGGCTGAATTACTCAGGAACGCCGATAATAATAACACTCTCTCTCCTTGAGTGCCAGACCGCAGCAGCCTACAGTTCAAGATCTCCACTGAGGCCATGGTCAGTGCTACCAGTACATCATGTGTTTTACTTTTCATGTCACTCACTGGTGGAACAAGCCATATTCCTCAGGCATCACGGCAGCATTATGGAATTTGCCTCCAAGCGGGGCCGATCGGCTTTTGGCGGACCGCTGATTCCCCCGCCACTGAGGCGGTGCGTCCCAATTCAATACACCTGAAATTGGGAGTCTGGTAAACAAACAAACATGTAGCCGAGGACTCCATCGAGCAGTGGCCAGGGCGGAAAGAGAAGGTCCTATTTTTAGGGCCCTGCCAGTATGACCTACCGTGTGTGGCTGTATACTGCGAGTGTATGCATCTGTCCACCAACTGGTGATTTGCTGTCCTGCAAAATCTCCAATCACTCTACCTCAAACCCCGCCTGCACTGCACTGCACAATGAATGCATCGAGTCTCAGGATTTCTAATGCCAGCCATGCAAATCACCATCTGAATCGGGTGGGCAGGGGGATCATCATCCAATGACGCGACGTCATGCCCTACGAGACTGCCGATAATGCCCCCTTTTTGTGTGGGCTTGGTCAGTGCTCTCAGCGCCCTCGTGTTTCGGCTTAGACGCGATGGTGGATCTGGCGCCTGGGGAGCAGCAGCATGGACAACATAATAAGAAGTCGTCGCCATGTCTCCTCCGCCGCGTCGCCCTGACCCTGCATCCTGACCACTTCTCACCATGCCGGTGATCGCCAACACCCCCGAAGCACTCATCGCCCGCACCGATTCCTGCGACCCGGAGACAACATGTCAAGGGTTGACCAACAGCGGCAAGCCATGCCGGCGCGCACTCGGTGATCCCACCGACCGATACTGCTGGCAGCATAAGGACCAAGCTGCCACCGAGTCGCCAGGGACGAGCACGCCGTCCGCCATGAACCCCAACAAGCCGCGGACGAGCATCGACACCCTGCTGGACCGGATCGGGATCCTCAACATCAACGACGGGGCGTCGGAGAAATGGCGACCGTCGCGCCCCACCACCAGCAACAAACCGCAGAAGCGACAGAAGAAGCGCACCATCTGCTGCTGCTTTGAGGTGATCGAGGAGGAGGAGATCCGGCCGCCCAGGCCCGTCTCCGCGCGGCCGCCCTCCCAAGCGGCTGCCCCGGGCCCCCTCCCGCAGGCCAACCTGCTCTCGCCCAACAGCCAGATCCCCACGCGGCCATCCGCGCAGACCTCCTCCCACTACTCCTCCACCTCGTCCGGGATCCCCGAATCCTGCATCCCCGCCGACCTCAGCGCGGAGGCGGCCTCGACGCTGGCCTCCGAGCTCGACAAGCCGATCTCCGAACGCGACGAACCGGGCTACATCTACATGTTCTGGCTGACGCCGGAGGAGACCACAGGGAATGGGGGAGGAGCGCGCGGTCCGCCGCCGGCCGAGGTCGCCAGCTCGCTGTTGCCACACCACCACAAGTCGAGCGGCGGCGGCGCACGCGACCGCGCCGTCAGCGACGCGATCCGCACGGCGCGGGATCTCCGGGCGTTGACCTCGGCGCCCAGCGCCACCAGCCCCGGCACGATTCGGCTGAAGATCGGCCGGGCCAACAACGTCCAGCGCCGGTTGAACGAATGGTCGCGCCAGTGCGGCCACCACGTCACCCTGATCCGGTACTATCCCTATACGCCGTCGACGCCGCAGCCGTCCCCGGCGCGGTTTGATGGGGGGACTGTGCACGACAACGCCGCCCTCGAGCCGGGCCGGAAGGTGCCCTTCGTCCACCGCGTCGAGCGGCTGATCCACCTGGAGCTGGGGGATGTGCGGGTCCGCGACATGGGCAAGTGTCCGGAGTGCGGACGGGAGCATAAGGAATGGTTCGAGGTGACGGCGGAGAAGAGCTCGCTGAAGCGGGTGGATGACTGCATCCGGCGCTGGGTGAAATGGGCGGAGGTGCAGGAGAAGCAGAGCCGGTAGGGTAGGCCAGCCCGTAGCTGTCACGGTGGTATACGTGAGTCTGCAGCGTTGACCGGTCATTATCATCAATATCATTATACCCCGACACGCACCCATAGAACCGAAACACAACCAACAGTACACCTCGCTAAGCAGCGCAACCTGATATCGATATCTGTTGAAGACACAAGCATCCCACAATAGAAAGCATCAATTTTCCATCGCATCGCAAGCAATCCTCGACTCCATACCCCAACCATCCCCCTTAATAAACCATCGAAATCACCTCCCATCCTCAATCCCACATCCATACCCTCAACCTAACCCTTAACCCTCCCGTCCCCCTCCCCCCGTCCCCCCTCCGCACCCCCCCAAACCCCCAACCCCCACCCAAACACTTCTACAGACTCTCCCCTCAAAACCCTCCCCACGACCCTCCCCAGCACAAAAACCGCCCACCCAAAGCCCCAAACGCCCACCCCCAAACACCCCGTCCCCACAAACACAGGCCCCATCACCAACATCGCCAAGCCCGCGAACACCGCCCCCGCAATGAAGGCCGCCACCAGCACGCCGCCCAGGAACAGGCACACAGGGATGCCGGAGCAGAGCACCTGTGCGGCCAGGAATGTGGCGAGCACCGGGTGGGCGAGGATGAGGTGTGTGAGGCGGGAGAGGGGGCCGGTTGCTTGAGTAGCATCTGTAGAAGTGGGAATTGCAGTAGGAGTAGCAGTAGTTGTTGTGGTGTATTTGGTGTTCCCAGTGTTCTTGGTGTTTTGGGTGTCTTGGGTGTTCTTGGTGTTGGTCTTGGTGTCATCGGTGGTGTCATCGGTGGCGTCGGAGGTAAATGGATAGTGATGGTCGTGGCAGGCGATGTCATTGTCATTGTGACGCTGACGCTTACGGTAGTCAATATTATCGTCCTCGAGATATTTCATGGCGAGCGGTTGCTGTTCGAGGAGGGCGTTGTGGTGCAAGATTGGGGCGTCCTTAGCAGGCTGTTGCTTCTGCTGCTTCTGCTGCTTTTGGCTTGGTTCTTCGGTGGGATGTTCCGAGCGTCCAGGTTCTAGTTCTGGTTCGGGGTCTGGTTCTTCGGACGCGAATTGCGAGGGGATCATGGGGTCGATTTCTGACATTTTGGGAATTATTCGGTTTTTGCGTCCACTGGGAATAATGTTTTCGATTGAGTCGTGCCTGAGGATGAGTCTAGGTATGTTGACCGTCAGATCTCAGATCCGAATCGGAGGCAATGAGAGTTGTACAAACGACAGAACAGCTCAGCTAACGTAGGAACCGTTGGCTTAGGGGAGGAGCAGTTCTTCCAGAATACTGTGCCTACCAAAGTAATCCCGACTAAAGGCAGTAACTGCCGCATCGATTGCCCTGCGGACCGGACCTTGCACTAACTAACTCAACACCCCCCCGCGGGAACTACTGCCCGTACCCACGAATCACAACCTGCACGAAAAAGTGATCGACTGTATTCGTAATCCCGTCACATACCGTACACCGTACAATACAGCAAGTCACCTGACCGTCACGGGGAGTAACCTCCCAGCCCCCGATCACGGATGGCGAAAAACCACTCAACTGTTAAGGTTCGGGTGATCAGGGATCCTCCCCTTGCAACAAGATTCGAGAAGCACACTCGCGCATCTGTCGCCGATAAGGTCCGGTTTCCCAGTCCGCGGATTTTGGGAGACCCCCAATTGATAGGGATTGAGTACGAGAATTGCATGTCACCTGCCTCAAACACCCAAGGTTTGCTCGGAAGGTCGTCAGAATGGAAGGCGAAAAACATGGCCAACAGGTGAAGAGAGTCAAAGTGAGCTGTTCCGCGGAAATTGCCGCGGTTGCAACAATAGGCTAACTGACGATTGGAGACCCATTCACCAAATATTGGGGCCTGGAATGGATTAGACACGGCTCCACTCTTGCAGTCTAACTTCCTCACCGGGGAAAGCTTCGATGGGTCCCTACGTGGACAACTGGACAGTATTCGAAGAAGTTGCTCATCATTGCTCGTATGGATTGGAATGTACAGTGAGAATGGGTAGGAAGAAAAATATCTAATGCTAAAAGCCGACCAGCTGTCCCAACTTTTTATCTCTCAAAACGCCCGCGCGATGGTAGAAGAAAAGACAACAGGACATGTACAAGCGACACCGCTTACCAACCGCGCTTGGCCAGCTTGTCGGCCTCAGGCAGATGCGCAACATTGATACCGACCATGGCCTCGCCCAGACCCTCGCTCACCTCAGCCAGGACCTTGGGGTCCTTGAAGTGAGTCACAGCCTGGACAATGGCCTTGGCGCGCTTCTTGGCATCACCAGACTTGAAGATGCCAGAGCCGACGAAGACACCGTCGCAGCCCAGCTGCATCATGAGCGCCGCGTCGGCGGGCGTGGCAACACCACCGGCGGCGAAGTTGACCACGGGGAGACGGCCCTTCTCGGCGGTCTCGCGCAGAAGCTCGTACGGGACCTCCAGCTGGCGGGCGTAGGCACGGAGCTCGGGCTCGGGGTCGGCAGAGGACTGCAGGATGGCGCGAGCACGAGCAATGTCGGCGTTGACGGTGCGCATGTGCTTGACAGCCTCCACAACATCACCGGTACCAGCCTCACCCTTTGTACGGATCATAGCGGCGCCTTCGGCGATACGGCGGAGAGCCTCGCCCAGGTTACGGCAACCGCAGACGAAGGGGACCTTGAAGCCGTGCTTGGTAACGTGGTAGACATCGTCGGCGGGGGTAAGGACCTCGGATTCGTCAATGTAGTCGACGCCAATGGCTTCGAGGATCTAACAGCATGACTTGTTAGCGTCAACGTCCACGAGAAACTGGTAACTGCTCCTACCTGGCACTCGACGAAGTGGCCAATACGGGCCTTGGCCATCACAGGAATGGTGACAGCCTCCATGATCTCCTTGATCATACCCGGGTCGGACATACGCGCCACACCACCCTGGGCTCTAATGTCGGCGGGGACACGCTCGAGGGCCATAACAGCGGCGGCGCCAGCCTCTTCGGCAATGCGAGCCTATGCAACTTTCATTAGCATTGACAGGATTGATCGAGCTTCCCAGAGTAAAGCATACCTGCTCCGCATTGACGACGTCCATGATCACACCACCCTTCAACATCTGAGCCAAACCGGCCTTGACAGTGAAGCTGTCGGTAGCACCGTTCTGTTGAGCAGCCATTGTGATAGGGACTGAGGGGTGAGATTGGCAGAATTGCTGCGGGAAGGAAGATAAGCTTGGAGATGGACAGAAGGAAGGAAAAAGAGAAGAGATGCCACCGAGGGGCCAAGATTAAATATGAACGGAAGGAAGAGAGTTGGTTACCTGGAGAGACTGGCCAGACTTGCGAGTGAGTCAACGAGGATGAACTGATTATCTCAGCGTCGCCGCCGAGAACACCCACTTCACTCCCCGACGAAAGTTCAGTACCTCATCCTTGGGAAAACAGTACCTCCTACACCAATGACTGCGAGGTTTCCGAGTTTACCCCTCGTTGTTCTTCCCCGCCGGCGACTGAGAGGCTTCCTAGGTAGTGGGGGTTGTTCAGCCCACTTCCACTGGTTTTCTGCCCCTCGTCAGTGGCAGGGCGGAACTACGGGCCAATCATTGCGTCGCCGTGCCTCTGAGCCTTCCCTTGACATTTTCTAACTTGCCACTAAACTCGGAATGGCGCTTCGCCCCTCCGTTTAGCTTTCCGCGGGTTTTGGTGGCCGCGTTTTCGTATCGTCACCTCTCGCTTATGTAAGATATCTCTGCTGTTCGGTCTGATCAGCATCGGTAATACGAATACAGCAGCTGCCTCAGGCGCCAACTCGAGGTCTGGAATATGGGTGGCTTGAACTATGAATATACCGAGTAGATCAAGACACTCACATATTGAACTACATTCAATTCCTGTACACTGCTAGATAGGACGGACCTTAAGCGCTTTCTTCTGTCTACTCAAGCAATTGGGACTATATGCTTGCCCACTTCCAAAATATCCTCTCTGCTAATCATCCTCTCCAATACACAACCACCCCGGACCGACCCCAGTGACGTCAGCCCACTTCCTCCCTCGATCCCTCCCTCCGCATCTCCAACTCCAACACCACCAGCACCTTCCCCCCTTCTACAAACATCTCTCCTCAACCCCGCTCCCCCCAACTCCAATTCTTTTCAAACTCTCTCACACAATCCAGCAAAACAAACCCCAAGCCCTCACAACCCTCCATCCGACCGACCAAAAACCAAACCCAAACCCAGACCCAAACCCAACAACCCACCCAGAAAAAACAATGGCATTCCTCCTCTCACGCACAACGACCACCCTCGTCGGCACCACCCTCGGCCTCGGCCTCACCCTCACCCTCCACCCCCTCTCGCCCTTCCGCGCCGCGCCCCTCCAATGCCAATATTCCGCCCCCTCCGCCGCCGCCGCCGGCACCCCCGAAACCAACTGGACGGTGCCGTCGTCATCAGACCCCACGATCCTCAAACAAGGCCGCACGGGCCCGATCCTCACGGCCTCGAACATGCGGCAGGTGAGCTTGGGCAGCGTGCTGGGGCTGGTGGTGGGCGTGGGGCTGCGGGCGTTCTCGCGCGTGCTGGTCGTGTTGATCGGGATGGGGATTGTGGCTGTTGAGGTATTTCCCCTCCCTCCCATCGTTTTTTTAAGCCTGTCTCGCAAGGGGCGGGCGGGGGCTAGCCCTTGGGTATTAAGTAGGTGGAGTTTTGGCTAACTAAATGTTCGATAGTGGGCCGCGGCCAAGGGGTACAATATCCTGCCCGTCAATACGGTCCAGAAGTACGTGAAGCGGGTGGATTTGCAGGGCGCGGTGTCGAAGCATATCCCCTTCAAGTTGAGCTTTGGGGTGACGATGGGGTTGGCTGCTTTTGCGCAGTTTTAAGTTTTGATTGTTGTGGTGGTGGTGGGTGCTAGTGGGTGGGTGAGAAGAACGGTTTATGTAGAATAAAATAAATGAGGCCGGACTAATTCAACTGAACAACTTCATCCAATCACGATTATATAGATTCAAGATTTTGGTTGCTGTCTTATACAGGGTATCATTATTGCGATGAGTCGAGCCCCAGGAAATCCATTCGCATGTGCTCCCGTCTTGGAGCACTTCTGCTGCGAACCAGGGCTGGCTCAAGCCAAAACCAAGTCCTCCAAAACGCCCTCCATCTCCTCCCGCGCCAACGGCACGCCCAGGATCTCCATCCCGCTTGCATCCATCCGGGACGTGATCATCTGGTGATCGTGGAACTCCTTGAGCAACGTCCGGAACATCATCTCGGAACTCGCGATGAACTCCTCCGCCGCCTTCTGGTAGAGGGCGCGGAACTCGATCCCGGCGGCGGCGGCGTCCTCCCCCCGCGCACCACCTGCACCTTCCTCCCCCTCATCGTCCGACAGATGGCCCTCATCTGACAGGGACAGAAGCTCCGTCAGCAGCAGCTGGTACAGGTTGCGCGCGTTCTCGGGCAGACTCTTTAGGACGAATTCCACGCCCTCCTTGCCGCCGACGCGCTGGCCCTTGCGGCCGAGCAGGGCGCTGACCTCCTCCACCACATCGAACTCGGCGTCAAAGGGGGCAAAGGTCGTGCAGTCGTGGAACACGAAATTGAACTGGTCCCGGAGGTTCAGGTCCCACATTAGGAGCACGTTGGGCGTGTCGGCCGTGGCGAGGAGATTGATCTGCGGGGTGGCGGCCAGGCGGGCGAGGAGGGCTTGGTTCGTGGCGCGGCGGAGGGAGGGGGCGTCGATGGAGTTGATGAGCACCGTGATGGGGGGACTATCGGAATCGCGGGCGTTTAGGCTGGACTGCAGCAGCTCCAGGACCTCTTGCGGCTGCGAGCCCATCTTCGACGGGATGTCTGCGCCCAGCACCGCTGTGACGATCGTCGCAAAGATGGACCGTATCGAGACGCCTGGCGTGTGGCCGTTGACAATAACGACGGAGGGTGGTGAGGTCGTAGCGGTGTCGTCGTCTTCATTGTCGGGGGAGTGGCGGCGGTATTGCCAGTCGGCGAATTCTTGTAGCAATCGACGCTTGGATCCGTAGCCGTACAGGCAGATGTTGAACCCCTGGTCGAACTCAAAGTCCCATTGGGGGAACGACCGGCAATGCAGGTCCAACAACAGGGCCTTTTCCTCCTGGAATGGATCCACCCACTGCGCCATCTTCTCGAAATACTCCTCGTGCGTCAAGAGGTTCACCTTGCTGAGATTGCTATTCGATGTCCGCGGCGGTCCCGCCCGGTTCTGGAAGAAGTAGCGTTCGTGCGCCGGGAGCTCGCCTTCGGGCGTGGGAGAGCGTTTGTTCTTTGCGCCCTTTGGTCGTCCGGCTCGACGTTTCGGGGTCGGTGCTGCTGCATCCCCGGCTGCTGGCTCCTCGGATCCTGCCTCGACGGATCGTATCACTCCATCTCCATTGGTTGCCGAGGTTGCTGGCGTTGGTTCCTGAAGGGCCGTCTCGTCATCGTCCTGTAGGATCTCCTCCGCAAGGCGATCAGCGCCATCCCAGATCTCATCGTCGTCTTGTTCCAGCAGCAGGCGGGCGCTCTTTTTCTTTGCGGACCGGTCGGCATTTCGAGCCTTGGACGGGGTGTCAGGCGCAGTTGTCTGTTTCGTGGGCGTCGAGAATAGAGCCTTCGCCTTGTTCTTGTGTGTGGGAGTCTTCAATCCCGAGGCTTTCAGGGTAGCTGGAGTGTCCGCGGTCGGCTTCTTGGGAGTCGACTTTGCTTTCTTCGCTGGGGTGCCTTCAGGGGTTTTTTCCCTGGCCGCATGCCCGTTCACGGCGCCATTGGTCGGTGCATCGGTAGTCCTCGGCCTCTTCGACGTCGAGACAGGCGGCGTTTCGTCCGTATCTGGTTGCTTGCGTTTCATTTTAGTTAATTTGGTTGGGGAAGGTGAGCGGAATTGGGTCGTGAAGAAATACCATCCAGACAACAACACGGAATAATCCCCGGGTTTAACTAAGAATAAAAGAAAAGAAAAAAGAAAACAATATGATGCAAGGGGGTTCCACCAAGTAAGCTCGAAGCACCACAGCTTTCTCTTATCTCTTCACAAGGAATTGAGGAATGCTCTCCCGTACGGTTCAACCCTCGTGGCTCTGGCTCTCTCTGGGCGCGTCTTCGAAGCGCAACCGATAGGACCGAAGGTTTTTCCGACTCCGCGATATCGGAAGCGGCATTTCATCGCCGCGCATCGCATCACTGCGGGACCGGCCCTGGGAGTTTCACTCGCCGATATAATTCACGCAGCAAAGAAAGAGCTTCTGTCCATCGTTTCGATTGACAACTCTCGTCGTGGTTGTTTGGCAGTGGTCTCGCGCGTCCACCTCGCCTACGCAGGAGCTAGCTGGAAGCTTCTGATAAGCCAGTGAGTCATTTTGTTTACCATTTGCTTTGAGTCATTTTCGGGGCTGTCTACTGCAAGTGCCTCCGTGTATATCTACCCAATCTCCCAGACCACGTACCCTGGGGGTCATGAGGACCAAACCTTCCACAACTATATCAATTGGTGTTGTTTCTACAGTTAGTGCTGGGACCCTAACTAAATTCTCACTTTTTCCAGCCCAGGAAGCCCCCTTCCAATGGCTATTCCCGCGCAATCGGCGGCCACCACCATGGCTACCTTCACCCGCATGGTGAAGGGCCAGGTGCGCCATTACTCCGCACCCCTGGACATGGCCATCCCCGCCTCCAAGCAGAAGTACATCCCTTCGTCCGGGTCCTACCCCAAGGGATTCTCCGTCTCGGGGACTCACGTCGGCGTCAAGGCCTCCAACACCAAGTTCCCAGACCTGGCCCTCATCTCCTCCGAGACCCCCTGTACCGCGGCCGCGGTCTTCACCACCAACAAGTTCCAGGCCGCCCCCGTGCAGGTCAGCCGCAACATCCTGCAGACCCGGCAAGGCCAGGGCATCCGGTCGGTGGTGATCAACTCTGGATGCGCCAACGCGGTGACCGGCAAGGGCGGACTGGAGGATGCGACCAACATGGGCGCCAAGGTGGATGAATGCCACGGCCTCGGGGAGGAACCCAGCACCCTGGTGATGAGCACCGGAGTGATCGGACAGCGGTGCGTATCTCCCTCCTCCCAATCCCCTCGTCCCTCACCCTGAAAACTAAACCTAACTAACCCTCTGGTCTCCCCCAAAAACAGGCTCCCGATCTCCAAGATCCTCTCCAAGATCCCCACCGCGCACTCGACCCTGTCCTCGACGCACGACAGCTGGCTCAGCACGGCGCGCGCGATCTGCACGACTGACACCTTCCCGAAGCTCCTCTCCACAACCTTCACGCTGCCCAGCTCTCCGGGCCGCACCTACAGCCTGGCCGGGATGACCAAGGGCGCCGGGATGATCCACCCGAACATGGCGACCCTGCTGGGCGTGCTGTGCACCGACGCGCCCATCACCGCGGACGCGCTCTCGGCGCTCCTGAAACACGCCGTGTCGCGGTCCTTCAACGCCATCTCCGTGGACGGCGACACGAGCACGAACGACACGATCGCGATCCTGGCCAACGGCGCCGCCGGCGGCGCCCCCGTGACGAACAGTCAGAACTCGGACGACTACCGCGCGATGCAGACGGTGCTCACGCGATTCACGCAGTCGCTGTCGCAGCTGGTCGTGCGGGACGGCGAGGGCGCCACCAAGTTCGTGACGGTGCGCGTGCAGAACTCGCCGGACTACGACTCGGCCAAGCTGATCGCCAGCACCATCGCGCGCTCCCCGCTCGTCAAGACCGCCCTGTACGGCCGCGACGCCAACTGGGGCCGCATCCTCTGCGCCGTCGGCTACACCCAGAACGTGAAGGACGGCGTCGTCGTGCCCGACCGCACCAGCGTCAGCTTCCGGCCCGTCGACGGCAGCCCCGAGCTCAAGCTGCTGGTCAACGGCGAGCCCGAGCAGGTCGACGAGGCCCGCGCCGCCGTCATCCTCCAGGAGGAGGACCTCGAGATCGTCGTCGATCTCGGCGGCGGCGCGCTCGGCCCCCAGGGCGCCGGCGGCGAGGAGGCCGTCTACTGGTTCTGTGATTTCAGCCACGAGTATGTCACCATCAACGGGGATTATCGGACTTGATTCCACAAATTCCTTTTCCGGTGTTTATCACGTCTGATATGGGTGGAACGAGGCGATGTGGGTTTCGCTGGAATCTTTTCTCAAAGAAAAAAAGCGCAATTAGAATGCTTGGATTAATTGTTCTGTGGATGCGAGCCTTAATATGAGTCACGGTCATCTGTTCGCCTTTTCCATACACAACATTCTAGCCGAGTAGTCCATCATGACCCATGAACGATGCTGGACACTACGTTGTAATGCGAACTACTAATCCTACAAGCAGAACAAACTAATCAATCGGTTCCCACCCGAGTCACCCCAGATGCTCAATGCCCTTCCAATGCAATTTTCAGGTCTTTGATCGAATATGGTTACAGACCAGGTAGTGCTATGTACAGCTGTGGCTTTTCAACTTTTCCCGCAGGGAGCAAGGAAATATCTGCCCTCAAAAATAGGTGACTGGCCATACATTCATCAAGAATTCAAACCATCCAGATTGCACAGCCACAGCCGCGCACTACCTGGTGAAAATAAAAAGATATAAAAACATAAAACCCACAATCCCTCTTCTCATAGTTCATCAGAAAATGTCCCTAAGCCTCCCTGCTTAGTTACCGGGGACGAGGCCACGGAGGCCGGCGCCAATGTCGCCCTCACGGGCGGCAATCTCAAAGTATCCGTAGATGATGCTAAAGTTAGGTTAGCGATGTTTCAAACAATGCAAACAGACTGTAAACTTACGTCACGGCGAGAAGGATACCAGTACCGCTGCCAAGAGCACCGAGAAGGTCAGAGGCAACGGAGAGGGCACCAATACAGGCACCACCGAAAGCAGCAGCGGTAGGGATGACACGCTTGAGCTCTTTGTACATGCTCTGCTCACGGTGGCCGGCCATCACGAGACCCTGGTCCTTGAGCTGCTTGGCAACATCACGAGGAGCAGAGCCAGAAACCTCGATCCAGGTCTTGGAGAAGAGAGCACAGGCAACGAGCATGAAGGTGATGTAGACAGCAGTGTGGATGGGGTCCAGAAGAGCGTCCTTGAAGTTCAAGGGAGGCGACATGTAGTAGGCGATACCGGAGGAGGCGTGGAGCTGAGCAGTTCCGTCACGGGGCTCCCAGACACCGAGAAGTCTCACGAGGAGGTTGTCAGAGAAGCGGGAGTACAGCATCTGGCTGATCAGGAAGATGTTGGAGCACAGAGCGGACTGCAGCATGATGGGCATGTTGGAGGTGTAGAAGAGACGGACGGGGTAGGATCCACGCATTCCACGCTGGCGGGAGGACTTGACGGGGATCTCAACACGGAAGCCCTGGAGGTAGATGACGGCGGCGAAGACCAGGAGAGTAGCCAGCAGGTTCATGACGTTGGGGAGGTTCTGGCGGTAGAAAGCCTCGCGCAGAGCACGCTGCTTGTCGGACCAGGTCAACAAAAGGTGGAAGAGAGCGATGATAGCACCCTCGAACTCGGGGCCACGGCCAGTGTTGATGGTCGTGGGGGAGAACGCCTTCCAAACGATGGACTCGCAGATGTTGGTGGCAATGAACAGAGAGATACCGCTTCCAAGACCGTATCCCTTCTGCAGAAGCTCATCCAGAAGAATAACAACCAGACCAGCAACGACAAGCTGAACGATCAGGAGAACGCAGATACCAGCACCAAGATCGCTGGGCTGGCCGTAGAGACCAGTGAGAACGTACACGCAGGCCTGGCCGAAGGACAGAATGATAGCGAAGAGCTTCTGGGCAGTCTGGTAGAGCTCGCGGTCGGTCTTGAGGTCAAGGTTGACATCGATGAGGTGGGTACCAGCGAGGAGCTGTGAATCCACGTTGTAAGTATGCGATTTTCGATCAATGATGCGGTCGGAATCAGCTTACCTGGAAGACCATGCCGGAGGAGATGATAGGGGTGATACCCAACTCCATCAGAGTACCACGGTTACTGGCCAACATCATACGAAGCCAGTAGAGAGGATCGGAAGTGTCAGAGGAGACAATACCATACAACGGCATTTGACTCATGACAAGGAAGATGAGCAGGGTGAGCTGCGGGCGATCTATTAGCTCGGACCATCTCGTCGATATTTTACAATGTGTCACATACACCGGTCCACATCAACTTCTGGTTGAAGGGCACCTTGGTCTCGGGGGCTGCCACCTCCGGAAGGAGGGGCGTGAAGGGCTTGATCAGATCGAGAAACCGAACTAGTATTAGATGTCAGCAATTGTTGAGCCATTGAGGAAGTTGGTGGATCGCTGTCGCGAAGATGAATGCGATCGCGTGCAGAACTCACGTCCACTCATTGTGACTGTCTTTTTCCCAAGATTACTGGGCTAAGACGGTACAAGAGAAAAGGAAAAAAAGAAAGGAGAAGCTGGAGGCGAGTACCAGCTAAAGGAATGGAGGGGAAGAAATACAAAAGAAGAAGGGAAGATGAGAAGACAGGATGGAGGGGAGGGAAAGGGAAAGGAGAGAGGGAGAGGAAGCAATGATGAGGTTCGGGGAGCGGAGGAGGAGATGAGAGGGAAGCGGGAGTCGCCTCGCTGGCCACTTTCACTCTCCAGCCACGCTAACCCGTTGAGGCCACTTGGTCGCTTCCACCACCGACCACGGCCGTTTTACCCCATCCAGGGTCCTTCCACTACATTCACAAGAAGTCATGCATCTCCTCCAAATTACTAAGGATATTCTTCATCCACAGAATTCTGCAAGTTGCTATTCGCTTGCTGAATTTGTATCCAATGGACTGTCATTCATTTGACATATATGAAATTCGTAATCTATCTTTCAGCACAGGGTATTGTGTAGACCTTCCAGGTGCAGTTGCAAGGTATAATAGTACATATAGTAGCCTCAATCCTCCCAAATATCAAGAAACGAGCCAGCAGCTTCGTTTACTTTTGTACACTCACACAACTTGTACTTATGCAGCTTCCTTGTTCTGTTCACTGATGATACTCGGGGCTCACATATAGTCCTCCCCAAAGAGCCATAACCAAGCTGACGGTCAGGGACCAACCAAGCATAAACAATCATCGATCACATTCTCCAATTCTCCCAGCCTTTCCTTGAGGCCTCTATTCTCCTCCTTGAGGATGCCCAGGACACTCCAAGCTTCAGAGGAAGGAACACCATGGCAAATGTTGCACTTGGAGGAGTTGTTCCAGGAGCTTGTGATGCCCTTAGGCGTGAGCCCCTTGATGACCCGATCGTACGTCGATTGGCGCGCTGGTGGGGTCGGAGCAGGTTTCAGCTCTTTCTTCGGACTCGATTTCACAGGTACTGATGTGGGGGTCGACAAGGTGACCTGGGAGATGTTTGGGGATGGCGCAACGGTTGAAGCGGGTGACTCGAGCACCTCGCGCCGGGAGAAGACACTCTCCGCAAGACTCTCGTCTCCAGAGTCAAACCCGGAGTCGCTTGTGAAGGTACCATTGCTGGCCCGTTTCAAGCTACGCTTGGGGGTCTGAAGCTCCGCGGCAAGGTCGGATGTGCTATCATCGTCATCACTTGATCTGATGAGCATAACACTGCGGCGACGCGCATCTTCCTCCTTGCGACGCAACTGCCTTTCCTGCTCTAGTTCTTCGGCCATGGCCTTCATGGCTTTCTCCTGCTCAATGACCTTTTCGGCCATGCCGTCCAGTTGTATTTTCAGGTTACCTATGCGTGTTCGTGTTATCTCGAGTTCCTCTTGCTTTTCGCTCTTGTCGGCCAAAACTTCGTGCAAAGCAAAAGTCCGTTGCTTGTAAGCAGCTTGTAGTCGTCTGAGAATGGTATCTGCATTGCTCCGTAATGCGTCGAAAGCGTCCCGGCCTTCTAAATCACTGAACCCGGGAGGGAACAAAGCAGCATTAATGTCGAGATTCAGAAACTCGTCGTGCGCAGGCTCAGGGAGCTCAAGCCTGGCTTCCCCTTGGCGTTTCAACCCGAAGAATGAGAACGGACTCGACGAAGTGACCTGCTTTAAGGGCGAAGGTGCCGTCATCCGCTTCTGTGCCCGGCTAGTGAGGCCAGTCGGAGCTGTGGGCATCACGTACGGCTCACGAGCACCTCGTCGCTCCATGGCGTCCTCCTCGTCGTCCAGTTCGTCGGCCTGATATCCCACTCCCAGATTCACAGGCTGCGATTTGCCTTGGAACCAGCCAGATAGACGTTTCGCACCTTCCTCAAGCCTGCGGCGTGCAGTGTTCTCAGTCGAAGGGTTGGGACGAGGTTTCGCGCTGTCGAGGTCTTCGAATGTTTTGGACTGGTCGGAGAAAAGCTTTCGGGAGGGAAGAGGGGCGTGCCGCTGTATAATCTCGGTGTTTGACCGGCGGTGGAGGGACGCGTGCGAAGGATATTGTTTCGGCGGTAGTGGGGATACGGTATCCGAGCTCTGTGCTAATAAGGTTGCAGGGATGTTCAGGTGGGACGGTCGAACAGCAGCATCGTCAGGCGGGCAGCTTCCATCCTCAGTCCCGATCGGGGCCATTGCGGGCGACGAGGGTTTCAGGCTGTCAACAGCAGGCGTGGCTGTAGATGACGGGTGTTCGACGTCTTGTAGCATGACTGATAAGTCGAAACCTGACTGGGTGGTGAGAAGGGATGGGGACCTGGAATGAAGAAGGGATGTAATCTGTCGCACGACTTGGACACGGACTGGAATGCCACGTCGATATGTTGTCCGCTCCAATGCACGGTCACGTATGCCGCACTCGATAGTCAGCTAAGAAGCAAAAGGGGCAATGAAACGAGTAGCTCCCGAAGCTCTCTCTTTTTTTTCCGTTGCAGTCTCCTTTCAGCTTGATGCGGGTGACAGCAAACGCAGGATGGCAAATTGACAGCGGGTAGCAGCAGCAATAAATCAAGCCTCGATGAAGTTCCGTACGGCGAAGTCAGTGACTCTTGGGGAAGGGGGCGATCTAGGGAGATGTTTATTCAGGATGATGGAATCGGCCGCCGAGCGATAGCGATAGTGGGCGAGCCCGCACGTGCCCCTGTCAGCGACCAGTGTTAGGGATCCTGCACGTTATACAATAGTCGATGGATCAATATCATTAAACTTGGGGACTAGAATGCGTTAGGCTGTAGTCCGAATAATCGAGAGGTGCGCAGTATCAGATGAGGCCCCGAAAACGGCTGTTTACATCCAGACGGCGCACAATCTCGCGAGGTTGGGTGTATATTCTTAGCAATGCTCAACCTGGCCAGCCAACCAGAAAAATTACGGTGGCTGGATTGGGAACTGCTTATGAGGATTTCCCCACCATCACCATGAGGCAATGGCGATTAGCTAGCAAGTCATAAGAGCAAAATGAGTCGATCCAGCAGTGACAGGCTGTGTTGGGCCGTTGTCGTTGTTGTCAGGGCAGTTCCATTGGCCCGTGGAAGAAGAGTATTGATCGGGCAAGATACATATCCACAGTCCGCAGAGTCCACATTACACTGCTCACTTCTGACGACGTCATTTGCGGTCGTGACCAAAATACAATGGTTTCTGTGACGACTGAGTGGGCTGGTAACTCATTGACGCCACCATCAACGCAGCAACGAAAGCACTCAATCTCTTTCCCCCTTTTTCATCTCTTGACCTCCGAGGCCAGATGTGAAGGTCTGGATTCTTGGGGTCCCCGTTTCATGCGGATTTTGGTCTGAAAGGGCCCCGCGGCCCCTGAGGAGAGATTAAAGCAATCTCGGGGTAGGGGGGATTGCCTGCGCGACATACAGGAAAGGAGGCGATCCATGCGTAAATGGTCGCATCGGCTGTCGGTTGTCAGGAGTACCTCTGTGTACCTGCACTGTGTAGGAACAACATGACTGGCCCATTGTCGGAGAATATAGGTAGATCATGAATCGTAGCTTGGACGATGGCTTTGCGGTAAAAGATGCGAACCATGGGAGAGTTGAGGAGGAATCCGTCCTCCCGTCGTGGGTGATTTAGATAGACTTCTGCCTGAGGCGAGGAGGGTCACATGTTCTTGCTTCTTCTACAAACTAATTCAGCTTCTGCCAATTTTCTAATAACAAAGCATTACTCAATCCGATTTTAAAGGCAGACTTGCTACCACTATGTCTGGACATTTGACTTACTTTCGTGGTCCCATCGAACACAACGGCGTCAACCACTCGATTCAATGGAACCAGACAGCAATTACATACTAGTCTCAAACTCCAGCTTCATTTCTCATCTGAGGACTGTTGATAAAATCACACCGATCAAACAACTTTTCCCACGCTAATGCTTGCTGTGCTGCTGTCATCACACCGATGTCCCCGTCTCTATCTATTGCCACCTCCGACAACCCCAGAGGACCCCCGATGACCTGAATCGACAGCCTACTAGCACTCTCGCTTGATCGCTGCCCATCGCGCATAGTAGGATATGCAGATGACCATTTCTGCATACCAGCACCCTCTCCTCCGGGGCGACCTTCATGCACAAACCCGACAATCGCCTTACTAGCCGTCTCACTGAGCGCCAATTGATCCAACGAGTTATCTGCACCCCCTTCTAAGTGTAGGTTATTGAACACATATGGGATGTCACTGAGATGTGCCACTCTCCACATAGGTACTCCCATCGCTTCAAAGACAGGTGTGAATCTTGTGGCATTGTGCTCGTACAACCAGATCCGCGATGCGTTCAAGCCTCCAGTCTGGGCATACTGCCATGAAAAATCCAATACGGGGCAGGTAAACCAGATATCTCGACTCATCTGCGCCGCACGGTAATATTGCGGCGAGATTCCGCCATCATAGTCCTGGCGGACCATGTGGTTGAAATCTTCCACTGGGTACAATTGCAAGAGTTTCTCTTTCGTTGATCGAGAGAGGCCGTGTAGCCAAAGCCCGAAGCTACCAAGGACGTCTTCATCTGTGGATGTCTGCGGAAATGCATACCAAGCCCCATCATTGGTCACCCACGATGCTACTATGGGAATATTCTTGACGAATTTACCGGTACGCATCAGTTGAGACGGCCTGCCGTTAAGATAGTCATTGTCGATAGTCGGGTAGAAGTATCCTTCACCGAATGGGGGACGGGCTTTTCGGGCCTCATTGACAGTTACATTGATCAATAAGTCAGCTGGGACCGCCCGCAGGCATTCTAAGGTCTCAATGGATTGGCCATCATCGTTTTCGGCGCACCCTACTTGCCTGGCTATGGCGACAGTGTTGTTCGCAACGAAGACCGGGTCGCTGTTGAAGTTGACACCGGGTGCACCGGACATCATCCTGTGTTGCGATAGTCAGTATGGGTACCTAGTGCTGTCTATAAATGGCTAACATTGCTTGCTGGAAAGGGACGTTTCGGGAGCCGTTGAATGATGTCAGATGCAGGCCGATGTCGCTGGCTCCCACGCTCTGGCCGATGGCAGTCACTGAATGAAGTGGTCAATCATCGTGCGTCTGAGTCAAAGCCGTGGAAGTGATACCTCTATCTGGGTCACCCCCGAATACTTCAATGTGATCCTGGACCCCTGGGACATATCAGTCCCCGAAAGTCGTTTGGGATACTTTGACGAAGGCATGAAACCTACACTGCAAAGCAGCTCGCTGATCGCGCAATCCTGCATTTGTCTGCTTGGTCTCAATCATTGCCTTGCTCGTGGCGAAGCCAAATACTAGGCGACTCAGTATTCGCAAGATCGCAGAAAGTCGAGCGGCTCTTACTTCCTAGTCGATAGTTGATACCAACATAGATTAATGGTTTCCCTGCCGCAGCAGCCGCCCTCACCAAGCCGTCCGGCGTGTACAATATATCGGAGGCTGAACCCAGTGCATAGCCTCCTATTGCGAAATACAAGTCGTAAGAAAGAATCTTTTTTGCTCCATTGACAGAGAGGGCTGGACAAACCTCCATGTCTCCAGACCGCAACTGGTAGTTTCGCATCCCTCTGCACCCCTGAAGGTCGAGCAATTCGCAGGCTCAGACAGTTCTCACTTATATTGTTCACTTGGCTGGTGAAGGGCAGTATGTCTCCCACGCCTTGAGGACACCAGGCACCGGGCTTGCTAGCATCAATGATGGATCCTTTGGGCGGGCTTACTGGGACTGGGGGTGCAAATCGTCGTTGACCGGTTGGCTCTTCTGCATAGAACACATTCTGGAAGTGCTCGACTCCAGGAGTACGACTTCCAATAAATCTGATGTTGCGAGTAAAGTCTGTGACCGTTGGTGGAAAGATGGATGCACTAAGAATGGGAATGTTCGCTCTCTCCAAAAGGTGATGATGGATCTGCGAGTAATATGCTATGATGAGACTGACCGCCACAGCAACAACGCCAAAGAGGAGATTGATCTTGAAATTGGTCATATCTCGAGATGTTAAGTATGGTTGTTGAGAAGACTACTATCAGCAGATGCTTACAGGCCATAGCTCACAGAGCAGCGTGAGAATTGAGGATCAGACGTGTCGAGTGTGTTGGTTCAATTAGTGCTGACTGTTAACCGGGATGTCCGGTTCGCATTTCTTTCTGTGTTCTGCATTCCGACGGCAGAAGCGATATTTCCCAACCCACGAAGTTGAATCTCATCTCTGGTTCTTCAATTCTTTGCAAAGCACCTCCCATATAAAATGGTACTTGGTGTATCTGCCATGTGCCGTTGGCTCCACAATCGGCCCCGCCGAAGATGACGACGATCCCTTCTTCACCTCCATTATTGCAACTGATAATTATCTCAACAGCCGAGGTTTTCCCCCGATATTCTGCGAGTCATGTATCAACTTCGGCCGATGCCATATCAACGGCTCAATGCTGCCAAACCCCCGTTGAGGCGCCGGGTCCAATAGCTCACGCTAAGTTTAGCCCATCGTCGCCATGTGGGAATATTATCAGGGGCCGCGGCAGCAGAATCTGTCGATCTTGCGAAAGCTGTCACCGGATTCGTCTACGATCTAAGCGAAGCGCGTGAAAACCCAATCTGAAACAACGACAGCGATTATCCTACGGGGCTAAGTTCTGGTTATGGACTCGACATGGTATTCACCAAGAACCCTTGAAAGAGTGACCAGCAACAGGAGGCGTTATGCGAAGGGGGTCCTGTCTATATAGTTCCACCTTCATCGCCGGCTGACTATGATCCCACCCATGTCCACGTGAAGAAAGCATGTTGACATTCCTACTCTTTGCCCTCCCGGCCGCCGCGCAGCTGTCTGGCGCCGTCGGCCCCACGACTTCTTATGCCTCCAAGGCGGCTAACAAGGTCTGCAACATCGTCGACTACGGTGGCTTTCCCGGAAATGGCACAGATATCGGCCCCGCCTTGTCATCTGCTTGGAGCGACTGTGCCAAAGGCGGACTGGTGTATATCCCACCGGGTAACTTCTCCATGGCGACGTTTCCAGCGCTGAAGGATGGTGTCTCGTCGGCCGTACAACTAGATGGGGTGGTTCATCGCACTGGGGCCGAGGGCAGTACGATGTTTTCCTTCCGCAACTGCAAGGACTTCGAATTCTTCTCGGGTAACTCCCGCGGTGCTATACAAGGCTATGGCAACGAGTACTTGTCGCAGGGCGAGTACGGCCCACGTCTCATGCGCTTCCAGGAGATGAGCAACTTCTCCGTGCATGGTCTCGCACTAGTCGACTCGCCTGCGTACTACCTCACCCTAGACACGGTCAGCAATGGCGAAATCTACAACATCATCATGCGCGGGCCTACTGTTCTTGGGGGTACTGATGCGATTGACGTCTGGGGAGAAAACGTGTGGATTCACGACGTCGAGGCAACCAACGGCGATGAGTGCGTGACGGTCAAGAACCCTTCATCCAACCTCTTGGTTGAGAGCATTTACTGCAACCTCAGCGGTGGAATGGCGATTGGCTCCCTCTCCACGGGGACTGATATCCATGACATCTACTACCGACACATCTATGCGAACGATGCGGACCCATGCTTCATCAAGTACAATGGGGGCAATGGCACGGTCAGAAACATCGTCTGGGACACGGTCACAGTCCGTGGGGGCGCTTATCCGCTGTCGATCGATTCCAGTTGGGGATCAGCACACGACGGAGATGGAGTGGAGATTACCAATCTCACCTTCAAGGTAAAGTGAACTTTCTGGGGATCGCGAGCCCAAACGCTAATTCTTCACAGAACTGGCATGGATACAATTCGGACAATGCACGTCCGGCCATTCGATTGCAGTGCGGATCCGAGGTACCATGCACCGATATCAGTCTTGAAAATGTGAACATGTTCAGCGAGGATGACTACGTCGTCTACGTCTGCGAGAATGCCTATGGAAAGGGTGCATGCTTGGAAACGGCCTCGACCGCTGCCGCGACCGGTTATACCGCACATCAGACGATGACATCTATTGGGTAAGCTTTCTCTCTGCAACAAGTTAAGTCAACACACTAACCCCTTGTCACCAGGGTGTATACCACTACCTGGATGGTTGATGATATTACCACGGCGATGCTGGCCAATACGTCCTATACCATCCCTCCTGTGCCAACAAGCTTCTATCCGGGCCAGTCTCCATACTCCGCTCTTCTGCACCTGAGCGGACCTGGTGGTCTGGGTGCAGCAAGCTCTTCAGTATACGCATCCAGTACAGCTGTGGCAGGATCGTCAGCAATTTCATCTATTACAGCTGTGGCAGGATCGTCAGCACTTCCATCCAGCACAGGTGTGGCTGCCAGCCAGCAAAGCTCAAGCTCGGCTGCCCCTAGCCAGACTGCGGGCGTTCCTGGTCAAGAAGGACAGACTTCTTGCTCATCGGATTACAAGGAACCTGGACATGGTTCAAAGCCCCATGACCACAAGGCGTTCCATCTGCATAAGGGGGATCACCAACATAAAGGGGGTCATCACTAGAGCCCTCACATGTAGGTGCATGCGGGCAGTGAAAGGTTTGCTACTTTCTGGTGTATAATATCTGGCTTGGAGTATGTCCTCGCTTGCTTGTTGGACAAGAATAATAATAGTGTCTAATTTTCATCATGCGGTATTGGCTCAGAGTCGACGCTAATTCTATAAAGTACTGGGTAGTACACATATGCAGTAATACGCTCATGGTCGAATCGAAGTCACCAATATCAGGAACTTGTGCGAGGAACGTATATAACTCCTTCTGCACTCGTCTCTTGAAATACCCGGCGTGTTTCCTGGGCGGCCGATTCGATTCGCCGGGTCTGCATTCAATTATCTGAGACGTTTGCGATGATTCGTCATTGCTGTCTTCTTCGAAGGAGGCTGGCCGGGTAAAAGAACGTTGCTATCTAGCGCACTGCCACGCTTCGTATGTCTTTTGTCTTTGCCCTCACAAAAGATAATGTGGTACAAGCTGCCTCTGAACGCCTATATACAAAACTCTCTATCCTTCCTTCCTATCAGTTAACATCCCACAGCTCATTTCTGTCCTTCACTAATCTGAGATCTGAGTCTGCGAAAGCAAGGTGTGTTCTACCCTGTGCAAGGTACCCAGCACCTATGTTTGAGCCCTTACATAGTGTTGCTAGATGTGTGAATGGCATGAGATCTTATTCCACCACGGCTGTCTTAACACTCGTGATCTTATCGAAAAGTATACGCCGGATGCGACTTGCACTCGAAATACTACAAATCCTCAGCGAAGGATACATATGTAAGCAAGGGCCAATCAAATCAGGTGACTCAATACAAGGCAGATTTAAGTGTAACCCTCCAAAATCAATCCTTTGCAACCATCAATGCACTTCTCGTCTCTTTTCAAAGAAATCTTTCATCATGGACGAGGTCAACAACACGTATTCAGAGCTTGTCAGAGCCTGAGAACAATCCGGATCGTTGTTGACGTGCCTATCGAACTCTTAGCGCCTGGCAACTACCTGGCTTCAGCCTTCGATTCTATTAAGCTTTTCACGACAAGCTGGAAAGAACATTACGCGGTCCGGGAAATTGTTGTTGACATTTATCCACGGCATGCATACATTGTCATCGACATCAACAATCACCGTTATGACTTCGAGCTCGCTCACCTGCAGCACTTCACTATTCCGGTTCACATTCTTCGCTTGTCAAGGAAAAGCAAGAATTGGTCTTTCTTTAGACGAGAATTAGAGGATCGACGAGTCGCGAAGGACATTGCAGAGCTACACAGGCGCAATGGCCAGAAGCAGCCCCCTTTCTTTGCGGATCATATTAGAGGGTCTGTGTACCTCTCTCCCCGTACAACCTGAAGGCACAATGAGCCAGATGTGATTTGTTATGCATGCAGCGTCGCGTGTTTGCGGAAGAGGATCGCTTGCCTTGTTTTGTTGTTTTTCGATCATGCGCCTCCGCTAATATGATGTTCAATTTGCTGTCTCAAAGCATGTACAAGGGCCTGAGTGGCCTTGAAGCGCTGGATCCGCCGGGCTAGATCATTCGGACTGTACAAGAGCGTCTGGACTCTGGCCAGAACTATCTCCGCGCAATTCAGGAGGTCAATCTCCTCCCCCCCCCCCAGAATATGCTCAGTCAAGCTCTGGAGATCCCTTGAGAAACCAATCATCTCAAACCTTTGTCACTCGGCATACTGGCAACAGCTTGATCTTACGTTCACCGGGCGGTGATTACCTCTCCGCATACACGCAATCGGCCATATACGAGAGTCTACATCAGCATGCCAATCGCCGAATCCACCCTTTAAGCGCGCCGTTGATCTCTGCCTTAACCTGAGACCTCCAGGACCAGCCCTCTCCGGATCTGGTCACATCCCCTTGGCCACTGAAATCCACTCGTCAGCGGAGTCCCATTTTCTACCGCTCAACATGGCTGTCAACCCAGTTCGCCCTATACCAAGTCTTCAAAGGCCAGGCCACCGCGGCATCGACCGAGTTCCGTACAGCTCGACATCGGCGCGGGAATCCGCTGGAGCATCACCTACTTTGGGTGCAACTACTCCATCATCTTGGAGCTGATCCTGCACTATATTCCATGGCATTTAGAGTCCCAAGGGACGCGTTTTCCACCTCCATGGCAAGAACAAAGGCTTGGTTCCAGAACACGAGCTGGGCATCCATGCAGCGGTGGTTCTTTACTACGTGGCACGGAGCGCTTAACCCACTCTATCTTCGAATCCAGCTGCTTTGATATAGCGAAGGAGGTGATCATTACAGGATGGAGCGTATCTCCCAGCAGGCAGAACATCGCTCGGCCGATCATCGGCCCTTGCCGCGATCCTCGGGTCAATGTGCTTATCCCGGGATGTCTTTACTACTATTCTTTTCCCTGTACATACACTAAGATCAACGAGTCGAATGGCTTTATTTCATCGCTGCTTTGGTGCAGGAGTCTCTTCCACCGATAGCTTCCATCCATTCGTAGTCCAGATGTCTGCTCTACACCACAAATGCCACCTGCTGCGATGCTTTGGGGATCCCTTTCGATTCCAAGCCTGGTGAGTGCGTAAAAGCCATACACAAGTACTATGTATCTAGAGGACCCTACTAGGACCCTACTAGGACCGACTGACTCCCTTCAAGCACTCGAGCAACAAGGCTGAAGTGATTCCACATGCTATCCCATCGATGAGGTCATTTCCTCACGTCCTTAGGTAAGCGAGCACAGCTAGGCGGTGAAAGACCAGCTATTCTGCCCGAGCAATCTCCCCGATCCAACGGCTTCAACGGCGCAACACAGCACCGCGATAACAGCTTTCGACACGGCATACCATCGCTGGGCTACTCGGCCTGAATACCCGGTTACAAGTTTCTCTGTAATCTACCTCCTGTACATCTTCCTCTCGTCACAGTCGACCATGGCAACCCCAGCATCAAGCGGACTCAAGTTCCTGAGCAATGCGCTCGCGACCCCCGAACAACTGTCCAACTCGTCCTCCTCCATCGACGGGGTCGCGCCCGACCTCGAGGCCTCAATCCGCTTCGCCGGGGCCCTCCTCACGCAAGCAGCGGGGGTGTACCTCCGGCTATCGCAGGACATCATCGCCCAGGCCATTGTGACATTCACGCGGTTCTGGATCGGATCCGAAGGAGGGAGTCTTCGGATATACAACGTGAAGGTTGGCCTTACCCTGTCCCTTTACTCCGCTGGAGCTTTAGCTCGTATCGACCGGGCCCTACAAAATACAAGAATTAAAGTGGGACGCAAACTAACGGACTGAATCAACTACGCAGGACGTCTCCGCCGCCGCCCTCTACCTCACAGCCAAACTCAGCTTCCAGCCGACCTCCCCGCGCTCGATCCTCAACGTCTACGGCTTCCTCGTGTCCAAAGAAGCCTCCCCGCTGTGGTGCACGAACCCGAGCCCCGCCACCAAAGAACCCCCGAACCCGGAGACCTACGTGCTCACGGAGGGACAATATCAGGCGCAGCGGTTGGGGCTGATGCGCACGGAGGCGCTCATCCTGCGGACGCTGGGGTTCAACACGCACGTCGCGCTGCCGCACACGGTCTCGCTGACGTATCTGCAGACGCTCGGTGTGGCGGCGCCGGCGGTGGCCCGGCGGGTGTTCGCGCACCTGAACGCGGCGCTCATGTCGCCGCAGCTGCTGTACGTGACGCACCAGCCCAATGCGCTGGCGGTGGCGGCGATCTACCTGGCGGCGCGGGAGGAGGGCGTCAAGCTGGTGAATAGTGAGTGGTGGGAGGTGTTTGATGTGGACCGCGAGGAGCTGGGGTTCCTGGTGGTGGCGATGCGGAGTATGGAGGGGTTTGCGACGGCGGAGTTGGAGAAGTGGAAGGGGAGGGCGGTGCCGATGACGGTCGAGGAGGTCGAGGCGGAGATCGAGCGGAGGCGGGCGGAGGGGGAGTGAATTGAGGGGGTGAGCAGCGTGGTTTGAAGCTAGCAGTTTCTTCGAAGACTGAGCAAGATACAGTTTGCTACTGGCTGACTTGGGGACTCGAGCCGATTGCTGGAGATCGGCGGATAGCGGTCCAGCGTCCAAGCTCCAGGTCCGGGTCCGGGTTGCAAAGAACAAGAGTCCCCCGAGGGTCCTCACCTGGCCGGCTGGCGGCTGGGGAGAAGTCCTGCTGTCCGGCTGGGACCAATTCGTGTCGCCGTAGCGGCGCTGCGAACCCGGGAGGTGGCGCTCTTGGGTCGGGGACGCACCAGCTTGAGAGGCAATCGGACCTAGGACAGTATTGTTTGAGTAGTGTATGACCAGAGCAAGTGAAATGAGGTATTCTTAGGCACCCAAATGATGAAATCTCGCACTCAAGTAAAGACTCACGTGCATAGTGTAGCAAGTAAGAAGTAAGTTAACAGACAAGTACGGAGTAGTCATCAGCCACATGATAAGTAACGATAAGCCCCGCGTGCCGCAGGGCCGAGTCAGCAGTGGGCGGGATCAAACGTCACCCCCTCATTTCCCCCTACTTCCCTTTCACCGCCAACCTTTCTATCTACAACAACCACAACTTCAACCACAACTACAACTACCACCTAACTAAATTACTCTTACAGCAGTCTGAACAAACACAGCACCAAGCACGCCTCACAAACCCAAACCCACACCCACACCCACACCCACACCCAAACCCCACAACCTAACACCAACGCAACCCAACCTCCAGATTCCACCCAGCAACCCCCTCCATCCAATTCATCACCCACCTCACTTCAACAAACACCAATCCCCCTTCTCCCCCCCACTCTTCTCACCCAAATCTTCCAAAAATGAACATCCTCCACTCAACCCTAAGCACCTGGCGCGACCGCCTAGCCCCAATCTCCCGCACCTCCACCTTCCGCACGACGGGTCAAATCACCCCCGAGGAGTTCGTGCTCGCCGGCGACTACCTGGTCTACAAGTTCCCGTCGTGGGCGTGGGCGGACGCCTCGTCGCCCGGCAAGCGCGTCTCCTACCTGCCGGCCGGCAAACAGTTCCTGGTGACGCGGGGCGTGCCGTGCCACCGGCGGTTGAACGATGATTTCGCGGGGGATGCGGGGCGGGAGGAGGAGATTGTTCGGGATATGCTGTTTGGGGACGGGGAGGATGCCGCAGGTGATGATGAGGAAGGGTGGTTGAGGACTGGTGGTGGTAGTGGTGGCGCTTCCTCCTCATCACCAGCTCAGGGCGGTAGCGCTGCCGGAGGAAGGATAGGGGATATCCGCACCGTCGACGAAGCGGGGAACGTCGCGGACCATGCCGATCAAGAGGAAGAGGAGGAAGACGAAGATGATATCCCCGACATGGAGGATGAGGATGACGATGAGGAGGCGATTATCCGGGAGCCCGTGGGGAAGAGCTCGGGGCTTTCGACGTAGGTTTCTCCCCATCCTATAACAACCCCCCCCCCCCCAAATCTGGAGAAATCAGTGGCTAATGACGATCCAAAAGACCCACAAGAACCTACAACCTCTACATCACCTACAGCAACTTCTACCGCACCCCGCGCCTCTACCTATCGGGCTACCTCTCGCCCTCGGAACCCCTCCCGCCCCCGCTCATGATGGAGGACATCGTCGGCGACTACAAGGACAAGACCGTCACGCTCGAAGATTTCCCCTGGTTTGACGGCAACGTCAAAATGGCCACCGTGCACCCCTGCCGCCACGCCTCGGTCATGAAGACCCTCCTCGACCGCGCGGACGCCGCGCTGAAGATTCGGCGCGAGAAGCTGCGCGCTGCCGCCCAGAAACAACAGCATGACACCAGGGTGGAAGGGCTCGTTGATCCCGTGCGCGGGCTTTCGGTCCACGATTCCTCCCCAAAGACGGAGAAACACGGCGATGAGTGGGAGGTGCTGCAGCATGATCATCACGACGACGAAGAAGAAGAAGAAGAAGAAGAAGAAAATGAACAGTTTGCGATCCGCGTGGATCAGTATCTGGTGGTGTTTTTGAAGTTCATTGCCAGTGTGACGCCGGGGATTGAGCATGATTTCACGATGGGAGTTTGAGTTTCGTTTGTGGTTTTTGTTTTTCTTGGGTGTGTGTGTGTGCTGAGTTTACCTAGGTAGGTGTAGTAGGCATAGGAGTTGGGTTGCGGTTTAGGCGTTTGTTTTTCATTTCATGGTTACTTTGAGGCATGACTTTACTTTACTCATCTACTAAATAACCAAACTACCATTTGCGTCTAATCTTATCTTTTCTGTTGTTGGATTCTCTGGTCGCTGATGCTTGTCTTCTGCACTCTCTCGAAGGGATTGTTTGTTTATTTGCCCTCGGCGAGATGTGACAGTCGTTCGTTGGCTCCCCTTCTCAAGCAATAAGAAATAAGTTACAGCCCGCCACCGGTTCAGCTTCCCCTCCACTCTTTCTTCCAGCTTCACTTTTGTCACAAACTGCAAAACTTCTACTAGCGAGCGAAACGAGGCATGAAGATTGCGACTGAGATCTGAAATCTGAAATCTGAAATTTCCCAATCTGGAATCCATAGTGATAATAGATAATTCCATTTCTAAACCCCAAATAGACTATCATTTTCAACAATGTAAAACCACAACAATAGATAAATAAGAGGTCATCATGATTAGAAAGGCCATATAAGAAAACTAAAAAAAAAACGTTGTCAACCATTCAATCCCGACAAAAAAAATTACACATCATGTTAGGAGTTGGACAGATGGACACGACAGTAAATACTCCGCTTTTGCTCCGTTGAGAAGCAAACAACACATGATCAGCCAGAAATTTGTATAGAGAAGGGAAGTTTGAAGCAAATGAAAAGGGAAAATGATCGCTGATTGATGAGAGGGGAGAAAGACGTGCTTGAAGCGCTGCGTGTAGTTGCCACTATTCCACTGGATCCATCTTCAAAAGGGATCTAGGCAGGACATTGACAAGTGTAGGCAGGGAGTGGCGGGGACACAGGCGCAGGGGCAGGGGCAGGCTTGTTTTCGTTCTCAGGGACTGTCTTGGGCTCTGTGGCGGGGGTTGATGCGGGGCTGCTGGGAGCGGCGGCGGGAGCGTCGGGGCCGGGCTGGGGTTGGGTCTCGGGGGCAGACTCAGGCTTGGCTTCGGGAGCGGGAGCAGACGCCGGGGTAGACGCGGGCTTTTCGGTCTCAGGGCTGGGTGCTGGGCCGGATTCAGCAGGAGACTCGGGGCTGGACTCAGGCGCGGACTCAGGAGCAGGGCTAGGACCAGCTCCCTCCTCAGACTCGGGAGAAGGACACTCCTCAGCAGGTTCCTCGGCACCAGGGCCCTCAACTTCGGGAGCAGGGGCAGGGCTAGCAGGGTTCTCAACAGGAGAGACATCAACCGGGGCGGCAGGGGCCGGGGCAGGGGCAGGAGCAGGGACCGGAGCGACAGGCTCAGAAGGACCCGCAGAAGGCTTTTCCTGGGGAGGAGTAGGGGCAGTGGTCGGGGTTTGAGGGGACGGAGGGGCAGGGACGGGTGCACTTCCGGGCCCTTCATGGGTAGGAGGAGCAACAGCAGAAGGGTTGGAATTGGGTGCCTCCGAGGTCTGAGGAGCAGGAGCGGGAGGGGCCGACTCATTGTGCGGTGGTGAAGGAGGTGGTGATGCCGGCTCAGTGGTCTCCGGATGCTGAGGCTTGGGCTCGGGCTTAGGCTCGGGCTTAGGCTCGGGCTTAGGCTCGGGCTCAGGCTTAGGCTCAGGCTTAGGCTCAGGCTTAGGCTCAGGCTTAGGTGCCTCCGAGCTCTCATGGCTCACATGGTAGAAGTTACCCATGTTGACATTGGGTCCATCAGGAATCCCGATATTCAAAGACTGGCCTGCATCGGTGCTGTCCGATTGATGCGAGCCACCGTTCTTACCATCACCGTTCTTGCCGCTGCCTTCGTGGTAGTGAGAGGAGGCGGCGTTGCCTCCAGTGTAGCTGGGACCGTCGGGGATTCCGATATTCCAGGCCTGGCCTGCAGCGGTGCTGCTGTCCGTTTCATGCGATCCGCTGTCCTTACCGCTGCCGTCGTGATAGCGAGAGGCGGCGGCGCTCGCCGTGTTGTAGTAGGGTCCATCGGGGATGGAGATATCGCTGCCGCTACCCGCAAAGCTCTCTGAGTCGAATTGCCTTTTGGCCAGGGTTGTGCTCTGTGATATGTTAGAATTGTCCCGGACGTTGAGCCCATCAGGCCGACTTACCTTGGAGGCAACAGGTGCCGACAGAGCGGAAGGAGTGACGAGAGCAAGGCACAAGAGTGCCGAAAGGCTCTTGGAGTTGTACATGGTAGTGAATATCTGTAAAAAAGACTTGAGAAAGAATGTGATTGCAGATTGAAAGAAAGTCAGCAAAGTGTCAGTGAGTGAGTGTATGGGAGAGAAAGAATGGATGCTGTGATGAAGACAGCCGATGATGAGTCTGAAGAAAGATCAGCCCAACCAGAATCCATCGGGTCTTTATATCCTGAAGCTGGGCCTTGGAAGGGAGTTACCCTGGGATAGCCCTTTCTAGGAGGTTGTTGTACCTTGTAGCCATTGCCAGGCAACCCATGGGTCCAAGCAAGGCCCACGAGACAGTGGCGTCAATTGATCCAAGATCTCGATCCAAATAGCTCTCATCTTATCAGCAGCAGCAGCCACACTCCGTCCGGATCGCCCTAGAACAATTTCAGTCGCAGTCCTTTCTTCACCAAAGGGGCTAAGGAGATAGGGTGGGGATACAGCTTGCTCCGGCCGGGGTCGATGCAAGGAGCCGCAGAGTCATCGCTGCTGCTCGGCCAACAAATTAATCAAACAACAAAAAAGTACTCCGTAGTGAGGCACCGATAGAATAAAATGAATTTAGTAGTTACACATGGTTGCCGATGCATATGCAAAAAGAAAAGGTTCAGCATCTTTCAAGAGTCATCAGTCATGGTATCCAATTAAGAAGCCAAATTCACCCGTATGACACCACAGAGGGCGAATGGCTCCAAGCATATACTGGGACAAATTCATGCACCAGTAAGACAGCCTTATACTTTTCCGCAGTCCGAATTTCCAAAAGCCGTGCCAAAATTGGTGGTCTTCTTGAACCGCAATTCGGGTTCCTCGGTCTCACCCTGGCTGCGAGGCTCAGCCTCATCTTCATCATCTTCCCTCTCCTCCTGAGAGCTCCTGCGGTGGTGGCCAAGGACCTGCTTGACCTGGTCCAGAAGCCTCTGATCAAGCTCCTTCAGAAAGCTACTGTCGTGTTCCTCCTCGTTCAACAAGGAGAGCGGCCCCTTCAGAGCTGGGTCTTCCGGCAAGTCTGCAAAGTACGAATCGGACTGTTCTGCAGGTTGCCGAAGCACCGCCGGAGCAAGGGGGCTGGCCTCATCTTGGACCTCCTGAGGCGACGGTTGCTCCGTGTCAATATCGCGATCGATCTTGACCATGGGAGTATGGCCGGCGTTTCTGGTCAGGTTGAATTCCGGGGGACCCAGCTCGGATAATCGCAGCTTCAAACTGTTGCGATGCTCATTCGGGGGGCGGGTTGAGGAGGTCGGGGAGGTTTCGAGTGGCGACGGTGATGGTGGTGTGATCACGCGGGCGACCACTTCAGGGGGCAGGGCAGATGACTTGAGGGTAATCCCGTCTAGCTTGCTGTCCAGCTTCTCAATCGGTACAGGGACACTGGCGCCGGTAGAGGGGTCTACTGCATGCGATTTGGGAGAAAGAGCAGCGTCCAAAGATGGCGCAGAGACATATTTGGCTCCTTGCTCCGGGATCGACGATAGAGTGTGGATGTCCGTCGTCTCCGCGTCAGGAAATACCCTGGTGGGCCGGCTCCCAGGGCTAGATCCCTCCCACACCTGCGCACTTGCGTGAAATTGGTCGGCAAAACTTACTGAGTGGGAGCGACCGTACGGGGCATTGATGGCGGAGAAGGAATTCGACGCAAAAGCGCCGGGCGGCACGGTCGCCGATGCGGTGGATCCTCGCCCTTTTAGCAGGGCCTCTAGTTCCGATATCCTCGACTTCAACAACGCGCGCTCTTTTTCCCACAGTTGTCGTTCCTCATTGAACAACTTCTTTTCATTTTCGAAACTGATTCGTTGACGGTCTAGCAGTGATCGCGCTTGGTCGAGATAACTGGCGCTCAGGCTCGAGTAGGTGACGCCAGCGGCACCATGGGTGTTCAAGCCAGGGTGCGCATTTGGCACCAATTGCGTGCGACGGACGGGGGTAGGAGTAGGAGAGAAGCGCACTTCCTTGTAAACGCTCCCATGGCCATTGGGGGACTTGATTGCAGTTGCTGACTTCATTGTGTTGGTTGCGGGTAACTCAAAAAGATCGGGTTCCTGAGACACTCCAAAGGGAGCAAGGGGAGTACTGTGCTAGGTTCGTCGTGGTTCGATCGCGCCCTCATAAAGGGATGGGTGGAGGGGCGAGAGAGGAGGGGCAAAGTAGGGCGAACTAGAAACGAGGCAACAATTGGAATGAAGCGGACAATAAGGTCGTCAGTCAATCAGTAAATCAGTGCCTTAACTAGCTCGTATGGTGAAAAAGAAAAGAGTCCGTTGGCTGCACGAGGCGACAGCCAAACAGCTTGTGATAAATTGATAATGCACGGATGCAGCGACACCGCTTCGCGATGACAAGTAAGAGCCAGGGAACCACGACAACGGATCACTTTGGCAAAGTGGCGAATAAGAGCAATTCGGTGAGTGGGGGAGAGGGGGGGAGGGTGGGGGGTCAAAGCTAGTTGTCTGCAGCGGTCAATGGGATTCGGATTGAACCCCTGATTGATAATGTTTGGATGGTGCCTGAAACACAACTCGAAGCTGCGAGGCAAACTGTAGAGTTAGGTGGGCGAGGAGGAAGAGGAGGTGTTTCGAGTGGACGAAAACGGCGGTGGTAGATAGAGGCGACCACACGAGGACGGCCAAGTGGACGTTGCGCTTGACTCCAGTTATGCGATGGGGAAAAGTGGGGATGGATGGGTGATCAGAGCCTAAAAGTATTGCGGTTGAATGAGCGACATTGTCAGACTGAAAACCGACCAAATGAAAAGGACGAAGGGGAAGGGAGAAAAAGTGAGAGCGCAAGAGAGGAGGGGTGAGGGGGAGAGAATAGAAAAATAAGGAAAGATGAGAGAGCCTGAGGAGGAGGAGGAGGATGCGACCAAGAAGATCTTCCACCACCACTACCACCACGGCTAAGCACTAAATGCGGGGGAAGAAACAACAAGAGTCAGGAAAAGCAAGAGAAGTCGGAATCGGTGGTTACTCTGCTTGTAGTACACACCGTACAGTACAACAACACGTACCAGATTTGTCTGGGGATAGAACTGACCAGGAACAGGCAGTGAAATAATGGCTTCCCAACAGCAGTTGTCTTGTCTACACTCACCGAAAACAAGAGCAACGAGAACAAGAAGAAGAGCCGGAAATAATCACTTATTAAGGTAAGAAGGGTGATTCTCAAAATGACATACACATACAATCCAGACAATAGAAGAAAACGACAACAGAAGACACAATGGGTCGATCACGAGGGGTCAATGACGTTATCCTCTGCTTTTTTTCCTTTCCCCCTCCAGGATTCACCGCAGTCATTCTCGACTGGGAAATGAGGGAAAAAAAATTAATGATGAAAGAAAAAATAGTCTAGCTCATTCCTGACTCAAGGCCAAATGATTTCATGGTTTCATGATCCATTCATGTGGATTATCCTTCATCATCTGGCATGTCCACCCGATAACGTAGTACTCGATGCTACTCAGTATGTGTATGTGATCGTAGTGAGTTATAGTTAGATCGACCCGCGCGGGGCGGCACAAAACAAATTGGGATTGCTCGCGGAATGGATAGTCACGGTTATTTGCACCTCGACTGGTGCACAGAATGATGATCATGAAATTGTTAAGGAAAAAAAAGAGCAAAATCTATACAATATACATATACAAATATGTGCAGAGATCGCGCCCCAAAAATGCCCCCAGAACTCCTTCAATGTCCATCCTTATGCTAACCCGAACTCCCTCCAGTGGCGCAACCAGCCAAAAACCATCGCAACAGAACTCCCGCCGCTGGCGACCGCGCGGACCCTCATAATACTGTTTTATATTATGAGTGGAGAATCACCAAGACTCAAGGAGTTTACCCTTTGGTTAAGGTAGAGTAAATCCCTCGGTTTCAGTCGGTCCTCCACGTCATCCTGCAGATGATAGTCCCCACAGGTAACCTGGAGTATAGAACAGTGCCAATCGGATACACACCAGCGGGAAAAGAGAGAGGGAAAAAAAAAGAACTCCAAGCTCATGTCCACCGAGGATGAAAAAAAGCAAAAAGATATGCAAAAGGCTGAGATGAGATGGAAAAGATTTGGCTTTCCTCCTTCGAAGACACGCCGACGAACAGGCCACTGAGGATGACAAGGCTAGCATCCATCGACCTAAAAGACGAGCTTCTGAGGCGACGCCCGCGTCCGATCCTGCAGCAGCTTCTTTGCATCGTCCATGACATATCGGTGCATGGACGGCAAGGGGAAGAAATGGAGATCCTTGCCCAGGGCGCCGAACATCGTGGCTAGCGACCAGATGCCTCGCGCCGACGACTGCAGACCCCCCACCGAGGCGGACGGGTAATAGAACCGCGGATCCAGATAGAACAGGGTGCTCTCCCAGTGCGGCAGCTTGTCGCGCAGCATGCGCGCCGCTCGCTCGTACTCCTTCAGGGTGCGCTTGGGCACCCCGGTCTGGGAATGGACGAAGAAGAAGATCTCGAAGCCGACGCTGCGGATGCGATCCCGCGCCGTGGCACTGAGGGTGTCCAGGAAGGCGGCCATGCGGTCGAGGTTGAAGGAGTTGAGGAAGAAGAGGGTGTTGTGCGAGTACACATAGTCCTCGACCTCGTCGTGGATCTGCCGGTTCACGGACAGGAGATTCCGCACTCGACCGTTCTCGCCCACCCAGCTGGGACACATGGAGAGGGCCCGATACCGTCCGCGCGCGGTGAACACATTGCCGCGGTCGTTGATCACAATCATCGGCCGGTCCATGTAGTCGTTCGGGACGTCCAGCGCATATTCATAGATCATGAGACGAAGCTCGAGGGGCAGTTTGAGAAGATACGACGACATGCTTGCCGACTTCTTCTGCGACGCAGTAGTCACCGGCGGTCGGTCGATATGCTGTGGTACCCCCATTGTGTAGATTCCGTCAATTTGACAACAACGATATTGATGAAGGTATGACGATAATCAGATAGTAGTAGTTAGATATCGTCGCGGGGCTTAGTAGGTCAATCCTTGTGTGAAGAATGAACTAGTTTTAATTAGTAGATCAGACCGGCTCATGGTACTACCCCAGCCGCCGGATTGCTTTATATATATCGGTATATCCGATCTACGTTAGTAGCATCGGCTATAAAGGACCAGATTCGAGACGATCCACGTCAGGCAAGGCGTCGTCGAGGCCAGCAGACAGATACCGGATCACCACTGGATAAATTGAGGAATCGATCAGATCATGCCAAGTGCCGTCTGATAACGCAAATGGATGTATAAGGAGGCAATCCCGGGTCAGCAGCAGAAAATGAGAGCTAGAAACGGGGCCAAAAAGCAAAGACGGATGAATATCAGACCACCCCCCTCTTTCTTGGGCTCTGGGCTTTGGCTTTCTAAGACATCACCTCACACCGGCATCATTCGAATATATTACAGAAAGATGGCAAAAGGGGGGTAACGTAGAGCAAAGAAAAAAAAATATGACGAGACTCGGACCGAACCAAGACCGATCGATTTTTTTTTCAATTCTTCTTTTCTTTACATAGAATTTTTTTTTCTTCGGCCCAGAAGTTTATTGAAAAAGTTTATCGACAGGGCGAGGCTCTCGGGATTACCCGTGCCAGCCGATGAGAAAGAGAGAGAGACAAAGACTATGAAGGAATGAATGGAACCAGGCTATTGCCACTATTAAGTTGTGCCAGTTACTGCTTAGAGAAGTCTCAACGGCGTGGCACCTCAGAGAAGCCTATTTACTCAGTACATAACATAGTCTACACCCGCAGTCTCTCAGTCATGCTCGACCCGCCGGTGATGCAATATCCAATACGTTCTTCCCCGCAGTTCAATCCAGCTTGCCGGTCCTGACTTTGCCACCGATGACGGATGAGGAACACGCCGCGCTCTACACGCCCATGCACCTGCCTTGAGAAAGACAGTGTTTTGAAGATAATCAAATACCAGTTCTAGGACACGATCAAATTAATCAAAGCTTTATTACGGCGCCATGCCGTGTCCTTGACCCAAAATAGGCCCAACGCATACACCGGCTAAAGTATCATTTGCGCTGGTAGATGCCGAGTAACCACGCGGCCCGCAAAACGGCCAATCCCCAGGCCATCCCGACACTATCGCGCACCACATTCAATTTACTGCCCATGACTTCGCGCCAGCCCACCGGCACTTCAGCCACCGGAATGCCGGCAAACTCGGCCAGCATGAGCATTTCCACATCGAAGATCCATCCTTCGGAATGCATGTACGGGATGATATATGGCAACGATGCCCGAGTAAACAGTTTGAAGCCGCACTGGGTATCCTTGATAGTGGCGGTCTTGGATGGAGTCAACAGCCAGAGGATCAAGTGGAACGAATGCATGAGGAAATTGCGCAATTTGGACCGCTGTCATCACCGATTAGCAGCAGCTCTCCCGCGAGTCTCGTAAATGGAGTCGTGCATGGGCGACACGATGAAGCTTACCTTGACCACCGCCTCACTTCCAACCATATGGGCGCGAGATCCCACGGCCACACCACGGCCTAGGGAGTCCTCGACCCCTTGACAGGCAGCGACAAGCTTGCCCAGATCCTCAAACTTACTGGCTCCATCGGCATCGGCAAACACCACATACTGCCCGCGGACATGCCTCATACCATGAGTCACCGCACCGCCCTTGCCTCGGTTCTCAGTTAGGGTCACCACCCGAATCGTGCCCGGCGGGATGTGGACACCCTCTTTCGTCCCCGGGGTCCAAGGACCCGAATAGCCCTTCGGGTGCAGCGAGAGCTGGTGGTCTCGGGCAAACGTGAAGGCCGTCTCTTCCGTCTTATCCTTGGACCCGTCTGAGACGATGATGATCTCCCAGCCCTTGTTGTCGTGCACGGGGTGATATGTCGCACTGCCATTGGCATGCCCGTTCGCCAACTTGCGCTGACGGAAAGTCTTCTGCGCTGTATCCGCATCGACGCCATTTGGAATGGCGCCGGTCACCGTCCCATACATCCGTTCCAGATAATTCACAGCCTCTTCCAACATACCCCCGAGACGATCTTCTTCGTTGTACGCGGGCACGACGAGAGAAAGGAACAGCTCAGGTTCCTCCACGGAAGGGTTATTGAGGGTGTGACCAGGACGCCTCTTGGCGTCCAACGCATCTTGCCAACAAGGTAGTGCTTGAGGTTCTGTGATCGCTCCATCTTTCGTGAGCGTTCGATATTGTTTCTCTTCGGGGTAAGGCTTCCGTGGTACAGGTGCGACCGCGTAGAGGGTAGCGTAGACCTATTTCATTGAGAAAAGCAGTCAGCCATGGCCCGAGACGACTGGCGAGCAAAGGGCAGTGTGCACCAAGGGATTAGATTTAGACCAGGTGTAAACATACCAGCACAAGGAAACCAGTCAATGTCGCGGCGAAGGTGACAAGTAATACGGAGACTGGAACATTGACCAAAAGCTCAACGCATTGGACGCAGATGTCGGACCACGCCTCTTGAGCCATGGTGCAATCCAGCAGCAAGTCGAGCGGGAGGGGGGGGGGGGAGAAGTCGAAGCGATGAATCGGGACAGTCGCCGCGGAAGCCTGAAGGTGCGAGCTCAAGTGCTCGAAGGGATAAGAACAGGGACAATCCGATCCTGGCCAGCCATGCGACACGGAAAATGTCTGGAGTAAGTGGATTGGTGAAGGGTGATGAGTATAGGAAACAACAATTAAGAGGGAGAGGGAAGCGATCCCAGAGTGAGGGAGATAGCCATCCTACTATTATTGATAGTTGAGGGGGAAGGAAGTGGAGGCAACGTGGTTGATCCGAGCAAGCAGGCAGGCGGGTTTAATTACCTTACGGAGCACTCACAGCGAGTAACTTAGTATAGTAGTACTCAAACAGTACGGAGAACGGAGTCCACTAGTCAAGTTGAACTCCGCTCCTCCCGCCGAGCCGAGACAGACGGCTAACGCGCAACCACTCACTCACTAAACTTACTTGTCCTTTTTGCGCGGCCTCAGTCGTCACCCAAGTGGAGACTTTCCCCTGTTGTTTCTATCGGTCGCCAAGATTCTCTTCTCCAAATATATGGGTAAAACTACGCTGACTGAGGCTATCTAGGCTCGGCTTCAGAATCGAAGACTGTCAGGTTCGGACTTCTGTCCAATTCGGGTCTCATTGCTCTTATCGATGCTATGGATAGATACAAGTGACTATTTGCTATATCAAGCCATGTATGTGGCTGACATGAAGTCAGAAGCCTGTGTAGATCTGTTTCTGTAACGGCAATGGATCGTTAAGAAATGAAACACTCGACTTCCTACATGGCGGTGAAGTTCTCTCTCCAGACCATTAACTTTGTTCGAAGGTACAGTACTTTGGCAGCTCATGGGATCGCTACCCTCAACCTCTGTTGGCATCAGAAAACTTTATAAGCCATGGTATGGGTTGGAGAGGTGCATGAGTCTCATTCCCAGACTGTGTATAATGTTTCAGAATGCTAGCTCGAAAGCTATCCTGTTCAATTTGTCCGCTGTGACTGGGACGATATAATCGGGGAGAAGTCCCATCCTGTGACCTTCCGTGTATGTGATCTGTTCAGGGCATGGATACCTTCGCTCATTGCGCGGCTTGCCTTTGTTAGCTTTTTCGACTGGCAAATGGATCGTTTCTCTCGGCAATCGTTTCTAGATCCAGGGCAAATCGAGTTGTGGAGAATTTGTGAGAACCGGCATCGTATGTTATCCAGCGGTTGAACTGTCTTCTATCAGTATATCACTGTCAACCCGGGTGCATTGCGAGCATACCGTGGAGAGCCTCACGCCTAACCATATACACCTATACATCCTCGTGATGCAACGAGACGGCAGTTCGTCATTCCTCATGTCGTCTACAGAAGGCGCACCATCGAAAAACGATGGAGGGTATAAGCGTTCGCTCCAGCAGTGTCCTCTAATAAGGTAGTCCTCGGCAACCCATGTCGTTTCCTCGGAGACTGGGAACTCCGGCTTTTCGGCGATACCCGGTTTGATGTAGCTGCGAAACAAAGAATTGAGAAAACTTGAGATGTTCCTCCACGGTACGACGGCCTCCACATGCTTCATTCCCGTGGGAGTCAATGCAAGACACCACAGAAATGCAAGATAGACATGGCATGCTGCGTAGATATTTTGGTCCCCAATTCGATCAAGAAGCACTGACATGGTCCGATACGCCATATAAGAGCCATAGAATAGTGTCGGTGCCATGTTTGGCGACTCTTTATAGGCGAGTAAGTCTATCTGCACCGTGTCGAGATCATCAGGTGAAGTCCAGCGAAGAGCTGCCGCTGCAGAAGAGTCTTGGGGATCTGCTGACGGTGACCCAGTCGATACATCAAACTCAGGTGGTAGTAGTGCATCTTCGTGCCCGTATCCGATGATCGCGGCGATATTACTGGCTGATATGAAAAACCCTTGCAAGATGAATTTCTCATTGAGGTGAGTCACGTATTGATCCAGATGGGACAAGAAAATATTGACGGAATGGTAAAGTCTGTCGCCAAAGTCTCCGGTAAAAAGAAATGCGTGGGCAGCGATGAATGGGCCAACTGGTGGGATACGGCGCATTGCCATGAAGTTTCTAAGAAATGGATTGAATAGGTCGAGAATACTCGTCCTTGTGCCCAGAAAAGGCTGCTGGACAAGTAGAGATTTTGTGTAGTAGAAGAGTCTCTGTGCGACATCATGTCGAGCCATGACTCCAAGATGGTGCTGGAATTTTCCCATGCCTGGGTTCCGATCGGCTGCTCGATTGTACCAAGTCATTGCAATGCGAGCCCACAGCCTACGGTCCTCTGTGTCAGTGGTTTCCGCGGCCATTCGGTACCTCGAAAGATCCCCCAAGCACTCCAACCAAGTCTCTTCATAGGCAGGAAACTCTGATACCATAGAGGCCATCGTTTTGTAAACGTCTTGTATAAAGCCAAGCATGTACTCGAGGGACTCAGGGAGTTGGTGGCGCATCATTTCCAAGTAGTCATGAATCCCGTAGCGCCACAGGCGAGTTGGCATCATGTATGCATCAGGCAGGGTTTTCACACTGGGGCCTGCAGCCGGATCTGAACAGGCTCTGAAGAAATCATGCTGCTCACTCACTAGCGTCAAATGCACTTGGGTAAGTTTTTCAAGTTGATTTTGCGAGGCCACAGTGTCCATGGCGGAAAACTGCTCGTCATATCTAATGGCTACTTTCTCGCACATGTCAAGACCGGCATAAATCATGTGGATATCATTGATTATCATCTCTTCTGTTGGCAAGTCAACCTCTAGCTGGGGCAAGAACCGAGGTGATGCTGTACCTTCGGTTGTTGCAATGCCAACCTCTGGCAGCCTTGGCTCCTCGCTCAACTGTCTCGCGGATTTTCGGCCATAGTTAGCATCCTCCGAGCCCACGCCTGATTGGTGGAGCGAGGAGGCCCCTTGATCCGGGCTGGCGCTCCGAAATAGAGGTAGGCCGTCATCGGACGGCGTCGGACTAAGTTGGAATTTTTTTGACCGATGCTGCAAAGACATATCGTGATCATCGCCTAGCTCATGCTTCTCGTCATGGTTTCTTTGGTTTTCGATGGCTTCTAGATCTGATGGGCGAGTCGAGGATATCTCTTCACCCCAGTCTTCCTCCCATTGCTGGTCAAGGTGATTCTCCGGCGCGGTCGACAGATTGAATTCGAGAGAATGCTCACTGGCGCTTCCTACATGCGAGAAAGAGGCACTGGCCGAGTGAATAACTGGGTTTGTAGTCGATGAATCAGCTGGAGAGATATCACCCGGAGGCGACGGTGGAGATGATTTTCTGTAGATGAGTTTAGAAGCTTGCTCAAGGCTCAGAGCTCATACATTAAAGGCACAGCAGCTAGGACAGGTTTGAGAGGGTAAGGGTTTATTCACATTAGAGATTTGGCGGCGCCTTCGGCTGAGTCTTGACGCGGAGGTGACCGATTTTCCTGACCATCAGTTCCAACATTCATTGTATTGGCGGCGTAGATTAAACGTCATCTGATCAAAAATTAGTCCTCTGTCGGTCTCATAAAAAAGGACAGGGAATGAAGAAAGGAGACTGGGAAAGAGTGCTGAAAGAAATTGAGGCTCGGACGTCTTCTCAGGTCTCTAATCAACGCCCCATTCCCATAGTTCCTATCTTTCGCAGGCAGGGAGATTGCAAGATGTAGATCCGAATTCAGAATTTCTGGGGAATACGCACGAGATAGATATAGTGGAAAGACCGCCAACCACGGAATAAGGCCAGGCAAGTGGTAGGCAATGGCAGTGTCGAGATAGAGCTTAATAGAAAAGGGGGCGATTGGGAATAGCAGGGAACAGTGGGAAACACTATTTATAAGAACGAAGACATGGAAGTGGTTTAGGTTCTTTAGGCAACTAACCCCATCTCTGCCTGGGGGGGGGGGGGGGGGTCAGAAACGCCTGTGCGAACAAACCGAATCACCGAGGAAGGCGCGCACGAACACCTACTGGCAGCTAGGACAAAACAAGCCGACAAGAGATTGCTGGGGAAGGGAAGTGTACAGTACACAGCACAGTGCACAGTATCGAAGAATGGATATGTCCCAAAAGGCGACAGAGGCTAAAGTAAGTAAGCAACTTTTGTGAAGTGGGGAGATGTGGTGGGTGAAAGGTTAATGAGAAGCAATGGAAGTACCCCCCCGTACTGTGTAGTTAAGCTGGGTAAAAAAAATAGGTAAGGTAAGGTAAGGTAAGTGCCGAGACGGAAGGCGAGGAAACCATTGGAAGAGTTCCACGATCAGACAGACCAGACAGACCAGACAGACAAAACAGAGCACGAGTCAAACCGACCTCGGAGGGGGGAAAGGCGAGGCTGGTGGTAATTTATTGTGGTGAGAACCTTTGAATGGTAATGCTCTGGTATTCCTGACTGACGGGAAACAAACCACCAGCGTCGCCGTTGTCTGGCTGCCTGGTTGCCTTGTCTTCACTCGAGTCTCCTCCTTCATACTACCCTACTTACTCATCAACCATGAAGCTCCTTGCCAATCCGAACAAATTTCGTCAGCTTCCTTTCGATACATGCGATCTCAATTGTGTCTGGCTGATCGTTTCTTCCTCGCCATCGGTCCATCGCAGACCTCATAAAATGGCCATGAAAAACAAATAATAATAGAAAAACCACAACTGAAATAAGATAGAACAAAGTACACTGTCATATTTTGGTGGCGTCGAGGCTCACCATTCTTCAAGCTCTCTCTCGATTCGACGACCTTTTTAAGTTCCCGACGCATGCTTATGCCTCAATTAGGAAAGTTGTCAACGGTCCGGTCGAGTCAGGTCGCCTTGTCAAACATACTACGGAGTACGGAGTACGGTAGGTATCTTCAATCATATCCCGTGTCAAGAGTCAAATGCATTAATGCCCATGTCTCGAGTATCCGTGACTCCACTTGAAACTTTGTTCAACTCCTAAGGGCGTGATTTGAGACGTCCCTATCAGGACGTCCCCCTACATGCGTATCAATACTAAGGAGCTCATGCAGGTGGGTTCTGCGACCTCCTTGATGCCGAACCCGACTGTTTGGGTTGGGCCACCCTCCCACACTCCCTTGCATGCAGCAGGCTGCCGACGTCGTTCAATCAAGTTCTCATCGCTGCCACTTGACTGACAAGCTTAATTCCAGGAATGATGATGGCTCTGCCCTTGCGTCATAGGGTGCACTTTGGCCTTTCTCGAACACCTTTCCACGCGAAATCGTTGATACTTCGCCACTGATCCACATTCCTTGGCCAGACTGCTTGTGGCCATAGCATCCCCATCTATCGACGAGCCGATGATTGACGGCTGATTCCTGGCCTCGATCGGCTTCCCGGCAATGGAATTATGAATCATTGTCGATTTCAAGGTCTCACGTATGCAAATCTCCGCCGGTGGTCTTGGGCCTCTGCAACGATCCTACTCACATTGCTGGTGATGACCCGGCTTCTTCGTTTTCTTCAAGTTAGCAGGACTCTGCACCCGGCGGAGCCGCAACAGCCGTCCTCTGGACCTTTTTCCTGGGGGGTATATTCTCTTCGTTCCTAATAATCGGGTTTACCCTTGCATGGACACCGCTTATTCGGTCTATTGATAGACATGGACAGCAATCTTTGCGAGGTAGTCGTGTTGGGGTCACCCATACGTGCACAGTCCTAGCATTCGATGAGATTCCAGGTCAAGCGGTACCAGCGAGACTGTACTTTGTATGGATGAAGGCTACTAGCATCCTCGAAGCTGTACGCCGTGCTACCATAAACATCGTAGGTTACACTACCTTTGCCCGGGCAGGTATCGCGTGAGGATAGATTCGACCATGATCAGCGCGCCACGTTCAACAACAGAGGATTGAAGCTTCTGCCTCACGATTTCGGGGTCTGATCGCTCAGGTTGTTTTAATAAGGCTGGCGGTGCCCTAGTGAGCACCTGCAGTCCGAGTCACCGACCACTCACGGAAAATAGTCGTATGTAATGGTGGAACATGCTGGCTATGAATAGTTTCGGATAACTATCAGTCATTCGTAGGAGAGCCTGGAAACACATTTGTCATCTGCACTCAGTTTGGTCTGAGCGTATCAGCCCTTGTCTTTGGGTCCTTGGGTTATTTGTGGTCCCACTAGCTCGAATAGTGTAGGTGTCAGACACGAGGATCTCTTTTCGAATCCTAATGATGCCTGACTATAGTTAGGCATGTTATAGCTTCAGCCTGCCAGTGCGCGATTATCAATTAGAGTTATCTGCCTGATTGGCATTGGGCCAGAGCCGGAAGCAAAGTGCGTTGACATCAAAAGGGGACAATACTTACAGTTGTAATGTACTCTGTACATTAATTTAGTTAAATCATTCTTAAAGTAGAACTAAAATCCGAGCCTCAGATTACTGTATTGAACCTAAATATACACGAGACATGCATCTGCATAGTACAGGAGACTTTGTATACTATGTGACAGTCTGCCAGTTTCTTCGTTCTCAATTTACGTAGCATGATTAATTAGGTAACTAGCTCCTTCGATAGAAGTACGGTTGCTACAGTAGGTACTGTACTCCGTATAATAACTGTACATGTACATGCTTCGTTCGTGCTTGCCGAGCGATCGGTTGTCGAAGGTGGACTCGGCTCCCATTACCCAAACACAACAAACCTTCCCAGCGGGTATCATGGATCTCTTCTCCACCTCCTCCTTCTTAGGATCTATGCTAATCCAGTGAACAGCTTTCAGAGATCATACTCATCTTTCTTTCAATATCGATATCGCACACAAAACTTCAATCTGTATTTTCGCTCAGCGGCAGATCTGATCTGTATGCAGTATGTACAGTACTTGGTACTGTTCATACAGTAGGTGACTACTGCCGTACGACCCACCGAACTAAGGCAAACGAATATACCGCTATATCCTCGCAATGCACCCACTGTCCACTTCTCCTTTACATTGAGACAGTTCTTGAGACAATCCTGAAGCATCACTAGTCTCGGGATACCCTCAGTGGTTTTCTAACCCATAATTATTTGTCTGCATGGTATCACCGAGTATTTCGATTCTCCCAACAATCCGGACACAAGAACCACTAGTGTTCTCTCCAAGAGTGATCAACTCACCTAATGACCTATGGTGACAGCGCTAACTCATTGCTCCCACAGTAGCTATTCTCTCACTCCTTGACAAGCCACCCAAGCAACGAGTCTGGTGGTTGCCTTAAACCAATGCGACCCATACCTGGCCATGTGCATTGCCGTTCCTTGGCGCGTCCTTTCTTTGCACATGATCCTACATGAGTACGGAGTAGATTGTTCATCAACTTCCAAAACTCACCAACCATCATGAGTAAAAGAGCTTCACTCGGTCCTTGTTCCTAACGGAGTAGATGACAATTCGACCAGGGGGAAGGCGAAAAACCCTTCTTCGCTGGAATTACAGCCGATGATACCCCTGACCCGACCCCTTAGTGTCAACCATGCAAGCCACGTCGATTGACAACTCATGGCTATGGACGAAAGAGCTCGAGCTTCGGCGTACGAGGAAGAGCTTACCAATTAGCCTTGCTATAACTTACTGTACATTTTCCCGACAGCGGTACATTAAATTCCTTTCGCTCTTCCTTACACCTCTACTTGCTTGAGTCCTCGAAGCCCCCAACAACGATGCGGAACACGATAAATGCAAAGCGACCCTGCAGTGTCAATTTACCAACCCATTACCACTGCATTAGCACCAGCATTGATACTAAGACCAAGAGTGTCCAAGCAATCTCATTCGTGGGATCTCGTCCGTCTCCAAATCAGCCACAGCAGTTACTTCGTGCCAATCCAACACCGGCTATTGGTTCGAAAGTCCCCCGTGCATATGGCACGTCAGTTTGATCAACTAAAAAAGACTCTTGCCCAGGAGACCTTTTTATCGCTACAAGCTTCAGTCTCTGGGTGGCACGGAAAAGGAATTTCTCTTGTCGGTAATCTGGAACTCAATTCCGAGGTATCGGTCAACTACACTCCAAGTCCCCTACGTGGCGTCTTCGAGTATCTTGTCTTTAGCATGGCTTCCCGCCACATGCTACGTTCTACATGCTACGTACTCGCCAATCCTGCCCCAACGGGCTGCCACCAGCTTCTAGACTCGATCAGCAGCGATGTTGCTTACTCGATTTCCATGCAACAAGCAATTGAGAACACATCAATCAAGGATAGAAATTCGAGAAACTAGGATACAGCGCGAAAGAGAGAATCATAGATCTTTCGCTAAACCGGGATCTACTGCCTGTGCCGCCTCGTCTGGACCGACTCGGAGATATTCGCAGCTTCCTTGTCGCGTGGCTAGAGCTCGAAAATTTCTCTCCCCCTCCTTCACAACATCGCATGTACTATCGATTTATCTTGCAGAGGTCGGGATCAATGCCCGGGTAGTGGAAGTGGGCTGGTCTTGTTTCTAGTCTGGTTCAACATGCATTGTCCCGGACAGAACCTCGTAACCGACTCAAGCATGTGCGCGACAGGAGGGCACAAAACATGACCGAAAGGTCAGTTGACGACTACCGAGTATGACCTTTGCCAACAAGTTCAGCGCTAAACCTGCAACTTAGCCGGGAAATATATATCGAGAGCACCAGGGGAGAGATCCAGGAACAGCATGAGCGGGGAACAGCGGCAAGTGGGTATTGATCAGATCAAAGAGAGAGGATTTCCAGGAAATCCGACGGGGGGGGGGGGGGGGGGTGGAAGGGCAAGAAAAAAGCCAAAACCGAAACAGGATGGTGAAACCAATCCGCGATCTTCATACTGCCTGTCTATTGCTGATCGTGGCTGGCTGGCTAGAATAATTGAAATGACAGGGACAAAACAGACAGAACAGCCCGAGCTAAGCAGCCATGTTTATTTGAGCCAGGCAAAAAATGGGGTCAAATTTAGAGATTGACCCCAAATCCAAGTGAAGATTCGCGGATGCAATTGGAACTTGAAGCATCCCTCCTACCTAATTCATACACGAAGGAAAGGGACCTCGACGATCGAAATGGACAGATTTAGAAGAGCGAAACCCAGCGGTGGACACACACACAGCACCACTGAGTCATGTCTCAGGGTCTGGACCGTCCTTCAATGACAGGTATACCACAAGAAAATTGAACAATGAAACACATGTGAGAGTGACAAGCAGTGACAGATAGACTAACTTACTCGTAGAAGTCTTGAAGACCGAGTTGCACGACACATATTCACCAGTCGTCTACGAGATCGGGTCCGAGGGTCGAATCGAGAGATCTCCGATGACAGAATCAAGCCCAAGCATTCCTCAGATCTGCCAATGAAAGGCCCTCCCTCTATCGGATCAAATCGAACGAGAGTTTTTTTTCTGTCTCTCTTTTTAAACTCTCCTTCTCAGTAGTTAATCAAGGTAGGCGGCCCCGACGGACGGGGCAAAGTTGACAGGCGCGGGCTCGGGGAGATCATCGGGAAGACAATCGGGGAGAAAAGTAATGGTATGATTTGGCAGACTACGGAGTACCGGTACGGTGTGGATGGTGGAACAAGGGGGGAAAAACAGAAGCCAGGGAGAGAAGAAGCTTCCTTCGATCCGGTGTTTGGTTCCGGTCTTTGCTATTTCCTGGCTCTTGCTGTTTGTGGATAGTGGCTGCCACGCAGCTGGACTACCGCACTTTTTCTGGTTTGGGTAACTTAGTTACCAGTACTACAGTACCATGCGGTGGCTGCAGATGTTCGTAACGTGACCTCGGGGATATCTTCTTATGCTCTCCGTATGGATGTGCGTGTTACATCACAGCTCCGCTTGTTAGCCTGTTAGAGGGATAGGGTTGGTTTGCTTCGCAGACGGTGGAGCTACCTTGAGTTCAACTGCAAGTTGCACGAAGACCGAGACTTGGAATAACTCGTCGAAGAATCCGGGATGAGATATCGATTTTCAAGTTTTGTTTCTTTGTATCTCCAGGAACTAGCGACAAAAGGAAGTCCCCAGAAACATTGACACGGAAAATATGTAGGTCAATCACTGTACTGTACTGTACTTTCTTACCTCACGACTCTAATATCTGGTGTTGGTGCAGCGACATGACATCTCATTCTTTCACCAGTACCGAACGCCGTTATCCAAATGCAGCAACAACACGACAGGGGAAAAAACAAGGCAGCGGCGTTACCCAACCACACAACAATCACGAAAAGTAAATCCGGCCCTGGATATCACATTAGCCAAGCTTGTCTTGGGAAGGACACACATAATAGTGTCCCGGTTTTCTTGTAGGAATGCCTTTATCCATCTATCTGACTTACCTTGTGTCTCACCGGCCCACGACAAATCGGACAGCTCGGATCCCCCTCCAGGCGCGTCGGGTTATTCCGACAACTCGGCAGATGGGTGTCTGCACACCACCGGCAGAGCACCGCGTGGCCACATGGCAACAGGACGGTGTCGACCAATTGCGTGAAACAGACTTTGCACTCTAGGTTGACGCTCAGTTCTTCCGACTCCTTCGGGTCCGGGCGGCCGTTTCTCTGGTTGTCTAGACTCTTCTCCGGCTGCAAAGGAGGATTGGTACTGGCTCCCTGAGGTTGACGCAGGCGTTGGTTCCGGCTCAAGCTGTGGGCATATTCCTGCGTAGCTCGAGCATCCACTGGATTGGGTGGTGATCGCTGCATCATATGCATCAGTTGAGAACGCCGGAGCTCGCTTGCCCGGGCCTGAGGATTGGGTGGAGGGTGCATCGCTACGGCTCCATTCACCATTCCTGGCGGTAGTCTGCCATAAGCCGTCAGTTGAGGTGTTCGTGCCGGAAGAGCTGCAACAGGTCTTGGCGAAGGCTCCCATGGTGGCCATTCATCATGCCGTTGTTGCTGTTGCTGTTGCTGCTGCGGCTGCGGCTGCGGCTGCAGTGGCCTCACAGCTGCCGCATACTGGGGTGTCCATGTTGGTACCGTCATTGGGACAGCCGTGGTTGGCACACTACTCCTGGGCAATGCGACAGATACTGGGTATGGCATGCGAGCAATGGTCTGCGGCTGTTGCAGTTGTGGCTGGCTTGGTCCATGCACGGATCCATTCGACACAAATCCTTGGGTCTGCGGCAGAGTTCTAGATGCCAAGGGCGAATAGTGAGGCTGTGCGACAGGTCCCTGGTGGCTTGTCCTAGGCTCCATTGGAGTTGGGTTCGGATCTTGCAATGCCATTACGCCTCCCGATTGAAGGCCGTTCATTTGAGTACCCATGCGATTTGATGGCGGGCCCATAGCAGTTGCGGGAGCGTAATATGTAGCGTGGGCACCGTCAAGCGCCTGGTTGAGAAATACTCTTTCCTGCTGTACTGAAAGTTGATTGTATACCCGCCGTCGTCGTGGTGGCAAGCGAGCCCGTGCGTAGTCCAGAGGAGGCTGAAGGACTGGGGTCTCTTGAGACATGAAGCTTCCAGCCCCACTGTTCATTTCGTGACCATGGGTTTGAACATAGCCAGACATTGTTGTATCCCCAGGATTCGATTCGGTGGATGGATTGTGGAAATCTCGCTGGCTGTTAGGGGAGGCTTGAGTGTTTGAATGCGAGTCAGTGGGAGAAGTGGCGTAACTGGTCCATGTGCCCATGAGGTTACATGGTTCTGCGATCGAAGTGGGTGAGCTTTCCATCGTCGGTCGACACTGTGCTATCCTGCTACCGCGTACGTTATTTGTTGTTGAAGATCACGGTAAAGCAAACAACACTTGGGCTTAGCAAATGATGGTTTAAGTCAAACGTGGTACACACACTCCACGAGCCAGACGAGGCCCAAAAGAAGATCCAAATGAAATTGCAGATACTTGTATGTTCAAATAAAGTAGGAAGAACAGAAAGTGACAGAAAGGAGGTTGAGTCAGTAGAAGTGAGGTTCTAAGAAGAAAACGAAGACTAAGAGAAAAGCTACTTTCAGATGCCACAGTTGTTGACTTCACTGGAGGGGAGTATAAAAAACTTCCCTGGCCAACGTTCACAGTGGGTAGCAAGAGGGGCTCTAGCACGTTCATACGTCAAGAAGATAAAGAAGCCGAGCTGATCTCATGCCCGGATATTTGATATTTGGCAGAACTTGATATTCACTGCCGTGTTTCGGGTTCTGGCAAGAATAACGACCCAGAAAACGGGAAACGGGTCGGTTCAGATCAAGATGACCATCATCATAGTGATCAGTGCAGCTCGGTCCGAAAATATGACGAAGCAGAGCAACCATCATTCACAATTGATCCGTTGCGAGTCAAGGCGGCGACATAACATAGACAGTGTGAGTCGGTAGAGGCTCTCTTTACCTGATCTTGCTCCTATTAACTGCTTTGATCTCTCAACAGAGACCTATACAGGGCTTGTAGCTCGATAGATATTCAAGCTCAAAGAGGCAGCACGAAAACGTCTAATAGTTCTATTTGCGGGGTACTCGAGCTAGTACCATTCCGGATATCGCAAAATCGCAGAAGACTCGTTTCGCCTACTAGGGCCTTTGCAATCTTCCTCTCATTGCCTCGCTTGAACGGAGACCACAGACGGGCTCTGGAGAGAGCAAGGATCCTCGAGGCGAGGCGAGGCAGAAGCAAAAACAAGGCCCACAGCGTGATCCAGCAGAACTTGGATGGAATCGGAACCCAGGTCAGGAGTTCTGGCACGCAGTCAGACTATTAACTCTGGACGATCTTGGATGCGGGCTCAGCTCAACCGGGCTTACACGGCCTCAACTAGAGAAATACGTTCACACAGCGCCGCGTCGTCTCAAAGTAGAATAAGGTTACAGCCTCCAGGCGAAGGTACTATGAGACTGTGGGGAATGTGAAGTATAGCTAGTGATAAAGACGGTGAGAGACCGCTGAGAGAGCAGAGAGGCAGAGAGGCAGAGAGGCAGAGAGGCAGAGAGGCAGAGAGGCAGAGAGGCAGAGAGGCAGAGAGGCAGAGAGGAGACACGAACGGTGGTGCTTGTGAATGCGGCAGCGGCGGGTGCAAAAGGCCTAACACGCACACAATCGTAGCTGAGTAGGGAGTCGAAGGGGAAGGGAGCAGACGGAAAGCAAACACGGCGATGAGTGAAGGAGGCGATGGGGTTCTCGGACAAAGCGAAGGTCACGGGAAAGACGGGGAAGGGAGCCTTTCAATCACTCACTGACTGACCGTCAGTCTTGTCGGGTCTGACCCCGCCAGAGACGAGGCAGAAGCGAAGAGCCATGCGGAGCAGCAGACCAGGAGCAGCATTTGATCCGGTAAGTTGACTATTGGGAGCTTCGACCGTAGGAATGGGGACGATACAGCATGAGCTGCAGGAGTGATTGGTTGACTGTGGGGGAAAGTCAAAGAGAGAGAGAGTCCAGCCCAGAAGGCTAAGGCTGGAAGTCTGTTGCTGTTGGCGGCGGTTGTCTGAGGGGTGTTGTGTCGTCGTGTTTCTGTTGTCTATCCAATCTCGGGAAGAATCCCAGGAAAGGGGAAGTCAAGGCCGGAGGGGCAGTGCAGTCGAGAAAGAAGTATTAAGAGGTTAAGATGTGACACTGGATAAGTGAGGTCGAGTTGTTGATTGTTCCCTCATTCCGAGTCTCCTCCCTTTTCCACCAGTTGACGTTTCCAACCACGACGTCATTCCGCCAAACCAACCCAACAACACAGCCCAAGCATACGGAGTAAAACAGCTCTTCCTTTCATCAAACGAGAACAAGTACTGCACTGGGTGTGTACATACTACCTACTCACTCATCCTGCTCCTCGCCTCCAATCATTCCATTAGTCAAATCTAGTGAGACAAAAAAACAGCCAACTCATCAACCAACCAACGCACCCCCCCCTCCCCCCTGCTACGGTAGACTCCCTTTCGATCCATTGATGACGCCCGCCGCCCGGTGGCTGTCCGTGCACCTCCAACGAACGGTTCATCGACCAGTACGGCCATTCCTCCTCTCAGCGCCCAGAAAGATGTCCCTATCCAGCTTCACGATCCCTCGCGACCTCGACCTCGACCACGATCCTCACGGCGCGTCACCGTCCTCCGAAACTGTCCCCGTCTCGTCGACAGCAGACCTGAGCCGCGATGCTCTGCTGCGCTTCCCCGCCTTTCGCATCTGGCTCAGCACCCTGCACCGGTCGTTGAGCCGGCAACACCAACAGCAACAGTCCCCCCACGAGTTCTCCCGTGACCCGTACGTCCTTCGCGGAATCGATATCCAGGCGGTCGACTATTTTGGCGGTGGGCGGTTGGGCTTTGTGAAGCTGAAAGCAGAGGTCTCGAATGGGAGCGGCGAGACACTCCCGGGCAGCGTCTTCCTACGCGGGGGCAGTGTGGGGATGCTGGTATGTTTTGCTTTTTACTCGCTTATCGTCTGCTTTTGTTTCTTCCGTCAAAATACCCGCATCTTAAGAAACATGAGGGAACTAATTCGCTATACGTCGGAAAACGAACTCATAGCTCATCCTCCAACCGGACGACGTCCCTCCATCCAATGAAGAAGAAAAACGCGTCGTCTTGACCATCCAGCCTCGAATCCCCGCGGGATCCCTGGCCTTCACGGAGATTCCCGCCGGCATGTTGGATGACAGTGGGTCTTTTGCGGGAGGCGCGGCCAAAGAGATCCAGGAGGAGACAGGGCTGACCATCCCGCAAGAGGAGCTGATCGATTTGACGGCCTTGGCCTTGGAGCCGGGCGCCGCCGGGTCAGAAGATGAGGAAAAGGGGGGAGAGTCGCTGCAGAAGGCTGTGTATCCTTCGGCGGGCGGCAGTGACGAGTTCATCCCTTTGTTTCTGTGCCAGAAGCGCATGCCGCGCAAGGAGATCGAGAGTCTGCAGGGTAGGCTGACCGGATTACGGCAGCACGGAGAGAAGATCACGCTGAAAGTGGTGCCATTAAAGGATCTATGGAAGGAAGGTGTGCGCGATGGGAAGACCCTTGCCGCATGGGCGCTGTACAGGGGACTCAAAGAGGAGGGGAAACTCTAGAAGTCTAGAACCACGGCAGCAGATGCCATCTCTCTCCGTGCTAAAACGGGGGAACCGTCATCTCGTTGACGCGCCCTCGAGGGCTTCGTAACTTCAGGCGTAGACCATCCGTAATCCGAAGCCTTTTTCTTTACAACAACTACCTCAAAGCTTGAACCTCTTCGCAAGCTCGATCCCCTCCGCTATCGTGCCCACCCGGGCATCAATAGCATAACCCTCGCGCTCGAGCCTCTTCAGCTCCTCAAAGAGCGTCGACAAGGGCACCGTGAAGCACTCGATGAACTCATTATCCTCCAGCTCCGGCTTGGGGTTCTGATTCTCAGGCAAGGACATATCCACCCGGACATGGACCATGTTCAGGTTAGTATTGCAAAACCCGGGATCTAGTTTTCGGGAAGAAGAAATGTTTCAGCATCAGCCATTACCACCGCGAGAGCGCAGTTGCATTCCTTTTTCTCAATGCCCGAATGAAACCCCCCTCCTCCGGGGGCAAAAAAACAAAGAGCAAAAACTCACCATTGAACATGACACTGCTCGTTTGCTCCGCCACACCCACATACCCCGTCTCCTCCTTGAGTTCCCGGACGGCGCACTCCTCCACCGTCTCACCTGCATCGATCAATCCGGCTGGAACCTCGATGACGACTTTGTCGATCGGGGGCCGGTATTGCTTCTGCAGGAGCAGCTCTGGACCGGTCTCCTTGTTGAGGATGGTCACGATCCCAACGCCATCAATCTCACAGGTCTCCGGGCGAGTCTGGAACCACCCGTCAGCGATGTCGTATCCTCCTGGGGAGAAGAGGGTCCGGATGGAACTCACCGTTCTTTCGGAGGATTCCCAGGTGCGCTCGACGCCGTTGGGGTCGGAGTAGGTGGTTTTGACCAGTCGGGCCCATTTGGCTTCTGAGGGGTCCTACGGAGAGGTGATGTTATTTTTAGTGGGGGAAAAGGCTGGGCTGGACGGGCTTGATCGGGATGATACATATGAGACATGGTGAGTGTGTTTGTGTCACCGAGAGAGCTGAGTTGTCTGGGCTTTGTTGCTGGGGAAGGGGGCGCGGGGGGGGGCCGGGGGGGGGAGAGGTTGGTTAACCTTACCAATGGACCTCTGGAGATGATCTTGGATTGCGCGTTCTTGGACATATTGTCGGTCAACTGGTGTGAACAATGTTAGAATTGTTTGGGTACGAGGATGCAATTGAGATTGAAACGAAGCAATGGCTGATCTACGATACGTATCTACTGAACGGAGATAGTGTTGTGAGGCTGGCTGACGTCGATCCAAGAGGGGCAGCTCGGCCCGGCAACTAGACTGGAAAGAGGGGCGCTGGCCTATTCCGGCAGCCAGGGCTAGCCCTTGTCTTATCTCTTTATCTTCTTTTATACAGTAGAGAGCTCCTCAAAAGACAACAACATAAAAGGAATCGAGGAATCGAGTCCCGAACATGTCCTGGGGCTCACACTTCAGTGGTCGAGTCTACAGTACATCCGATCATGAGCAATGCAATGCTTGACCAGGCGAGAGAGGGTTGCCACGAACCATTCCGCTTCAATAATACTCGTCCTATGGCGTGAAACAAACTTGAAGCATTATAAACTCACGACCAACTTCGTTCCACTCACCCCTCTTCCAAGTCTATCCAAACCTCGCTCAACAGCCTCCCACCCCCTTCCTATAATCTCAACACGCACGGGAATCTTATACTTCCCCCCAGCCAATAACTCCCCCAGCCGTGGCATGGCCACCGCGCCGCCTTTGACTTCGAAGATCTGTCTCGCATTCACAGGAACCGAGTGGACCCCCTCCGGAACATCGACCGCAGTCCCCTTGACAACATGCGCATAAACATTGGGACCGTCGGGGTCCAACGAAGTCAAGACCTCCGGCTCACTCGCCGCCGCCTCCACGATATCGAGGATGGCATCGACCCCGCCGCCGCCCACAGTCGCCGCCCGAATGGCCGCGGGCTCACTCGCGGCCGCGCGCTCAAAGCACCTCGTGGCCCCCAGCGCCTCCAGTCGCGCATGATGCGAAGCCGCGCTGGTCGTCAAGATGGTTGCCGACGGCAGCGCCATCCGAAGCAGCTGGACGGCCGCCGCGCCCGTCGCCGAACTGGCCCCGAGGACCAGGATCGAGCGCAGAGAGCTCGGTGTGCCCTCGGGGTCCAGGTGAGGGAGCCGGATGTGCAGGCCAACACTGACAGCCGCGGCAGCGGTCAAGTAGCATAGACTAGATGCTCGCTTGGGCGCGCGCGCGCCCCAAGAGTCAGTCAGCGGTGCACTTGTCTCACATAGCTCAGCAATCTGTCCAACATGAGGAAAGGCCTTACGGAAGCGAGGCCGCTTCTTCAAAGGTCAGGCCAGCAGGCTTCTTGGCCACTAACGCGGCACCCACGGTCACGACCTCTTGGAATGCTCCGCCGCGCGGACCCCCGGGCGTGCAGGCGACGAGGACCTCGTCGCCCGGCTGAAGGCCCTGCACGGATACACCGACTGCGTCCACGATGCCGGCGGCGTCGATTCCGAGGACCGTCGGCCAGGTGGGGATCAGAGTACCGTGGTCGCGGTTCTTGACGTCCAGTGGGTTCAGGGCTACGGCTTTGGTTCGGACACAGACTTCTTCCGGGCCTGGGGTGGGATATGGCGTTGGGACTTGGACAAAGGAGCCTCCTTTCCGGAGGAGCTGATACTGAATTGCGGTCTTCACAGCCATTGCTGCTACTGTGTCGATGTGTCGAGAGTAGGAATAGTAGGAAAGCTGAGCTTGACGGACGGCAAAAAATATGGCTACTTGTCTCTTCTCCTGTCCATGGTCCGGTATTTCAGAATGTTTATAGTCAATACTCTGGGGTAACTCCGCGTTGATACTGCCCATCACACCCCCAACGGGGTTAAACCTGGAGTTAGCAACGGACTTAGAGCCTGCGGTCCTCACAAAGCGGCATCTCATGATCCTGGACTCGAGGATGCTGGCCGATCATTCATGGGAAGTTCTCGATCAGCACATTCGGTATCTCCAAGCTCCGTCGACCCGGTCTTCCGAAGCTTGGTGTTCCCGGATGCCATCCGGATGCCGGAAATAGGGCCGGAACAGAAACGATTCCGATCCATTTCCTGCTCTAGGGTTTTCGGCTGGGTGAGTAGTACATAGCCGGTGTCGATGATAGCCTGCGTGTGGAGTCAGCGGGAGATCCGCGTGGGGTCTACTCGTGGTCACACTCCAGATGCCACGTATAGTCATCGGGAGGTTGTCGCAGGGTGCGTTTTACAGTAGAAGCAACCGTGCTCAGGGCGTTCACCCGTCACTTGATTCTGTGGCGGAGGATTTGCTTTTCTATCATTAGCTGCCCTTTTCATAAAGCCAGAATGAGGGAACCCTTGGACTCAGCCCTCTTTGTAGACTATAAGGTCAAACGAAGGACCAAACAAAGTAGGTGCATTGGTGCGGGAGACTTGGGAAATATGGATTGCGGGATCAGGACCCCCGACTTGTGGTTGGACCTACAATTCTAATGCAGTTTTCCCTAACATGAAACTGGAAGACCGAAGCTCATAAAGCATCATGATTGACCAATAATGCGCGTATCTTGGAAGTACTCATAGTGCAGACTGAGTTCAGTCTTAGCATCCAATAACTACTGTAGTTAGTTAATTAATGCAGTGCTTACTCAGTGCCACCACCATCCGGGGAGCGAGGACCCAACTCCGACCGGACCGAGTGGATCCCTTGGATCCTGGAATGCTTATTTCCTACCCCATAGTACCATCCATTCGTCCAATACCGCACTCCTAGATGCAATCATTGACCGTGACTCAAAGCAGTAAGACGGATCGCAAACAAGGCCGAGATTCTGCTTCCAGATCATAGATATTAGTCCACGAACAGAAAGGAAATGTGCCTTGGGTCGTAATGCTGGGATGCTGATTGGATTGGACTTCTGTCCGAACGGAGCTGGGTACCAGCTGAGCCTGGGATCTGTTGTACTGTAGTCCGTACCCACTGTTGCAATCATGGCATTCGGACAACAGCCCGAGAGGACTGGAGTATATCGCATCGAAGGCCGAGATAGTTGGGGTGAGAGTATAGATCCCTGTAGCAGGATGGGAGGGTATAAAAGCCTGGATGGACTCGACGATGTCGTGGGGGACTGAGAAATCTAGCATCGTAGCATTAATCAACACAGCTTGCAGGCTTAGCATGACGATGGCTATTTTCAGAGCCGGCCGCGGCACAGCGACGGCTTACGGGCAGTGTTTACCTTCTTCAACACGCTCAAGGCCTGTTTACTCGTCTGTCCCACCGATCCATCCCACCCTTTTACTGCATCCTGGCCTGCGTATGAGCTGACATCTGCTTTGGATTCCACTAGATGGCGTGCCTTCTCCTCCTCACGAACTCACCACCATGACAACCACAACCTGAACCGCGAATCGTCGAAGATCACCCAGCCGAAATCCCAAGGTGCCTCCCAAGCTATGCTCTACGCGACCGGCCTCACACCCGATGACATGCACAAGCCGCAGGTGGGCATCTCGTCCGTCTGGTTCGAGGGGAATCCCTGCAACATGCACCTCCTCTCGCTGTCTGAGCTCGTGCGGGACTCCGTCGCCCGCGCCAACCTGGTCCCCATGCGCTTCAATTCCATCGGCGCCTCGGATGGCATCAGCATGGGCACCGCGGGGATGCGGTACAGCCTGCAGAGCCGGGAGATCATCGCGGACGGGATCGAGACGGTGATGCACGCGCAGTGGTACGACGCCAACATCTCGCTGCCGGGGTGCGACAAGAACATGCCGGGCGTGCTCATGGCCATGGGGCGGGTCAACCGGCCCAGTCTGATGGTGTATGGCGGGAGCATCAAGCCCGGGTGCAGTGCGGGAGGCCAGAAGCTGGATTTGGTCAGTGCGTTTCAATCCTACGGGCAGTACATCACGGGGCAGATCGACGAGACGCAGCGGATGGACATCATCCGGAATGCGTGTCCCGGGGCTGGCGCGTGCGGGGGCATGTATACGGCGAACACGCTGGCCACGGCGATCGAGACGCTGGGCATGACGGTGCCGGGCAGTAGTAGCACGCCGGCGGTTGACCCACGGAAGCGGGCGGAGTGTGAAGGGGTGGGTGAGACGATCCGAAACCTGCTCAAGGAGGACATCCGGCCCCGGGATATCATGACGCGACAGGCCTTTGAGAATGCCATGATCGTGGTGAATATCCTCGGTGGGAGCACGAATGCCGTCCTTCACCTTATTGCAATGGCGGACGCCGTGGGCATCAAGTTGACCGTCAACGACTTCCAAGCCGTCTCGGACAAGACGCCCTTCCTGGCCGACTTAAAACCTTCGGGCCAATATGTGATGCACGACTTGTACAAGATCGGTGGCACGCCGGCCCTGCTCAAGTTACTGCTGAAGGAAGGGCTTATTGACGGCGAGGGGATCACGGTGACAGGCAAGACGATGCGCGAGAACGTCAATGCCTGGCCGGATTTCCCGTCCGATCAGCCGATCATTCGTCCGCTCAGCAATCCCATCAAGCCTACGGGCCATTTGCAGATCCTGCGAGGATCGCTCGCACCCGGAGGATCGGTGGGCAAGATTACCGGCAAAGAAGGGCTGCGGTTCGAGGGTGCAGCCAGGTGCTTTGACTACGAAGATGCGTTTATCGAGGCATTGGAGCGTGGAGAGATCAAGAAAGGTGAGAAGACCGTGGTCATCATTCGGTATGAGGGGCCCAAGGGTGGGCCTGGCATGCCAGAGATGCTCAAGCCTAGCTCTGCTATCATGGGCGCAGGCCTGGGTCAAGATGTTGCCTTGCTCACCGATGGGAGGTTTTCGGGCGGTAGCCACGGATTTCTGATCGGGCATGTCGTGCCAGAAGCGATGGAAGGGGGTCCGATTGCGCTCGTTAAAGATGGCGATCGTATTGTGATCGATGCGGAGAAGAAAGTGGTTGACCTGGAGATCCCATCGGAGGAGTTGGAGCGGAGGAGGAAGGAGTGGAAGGCGCCGAAACCGAGAGCAGCGAAAGGCACCTTGGCTAAATATGCCAGACTTGTTAGCGATGCGAGCCATGGCTGTGTGACTGATGGGCCTATATAGCAGTTGTGATCAAGTTCGGGAGAATTGCATAACATTTTTTGATTATGATCTTCATTGGAGGCGAAGATATGCGTGTTAGATGGAAGAAGCGTGAGTACGGGGTAGAGGGAGATGGCGGTAACTCAGAGGCGGCTCGGGTAATATAAGAACTGTAGGAACACTGCGTGTCTGGGACAAGTCTTCTCTGTATTACCGATGGGCTCAAGTCTATCGAACCTCTGTATAACTGTAGAGAGGGAACATGCTGTGGCACGAAATTCGACAATCACCGTTCACAAGACAGAGATCAAACACCTCATTTGCTGCGACAAGCCTCTCATCGGCCAAGAACTGAAGAAAGCATGATTGAATTCGTAAAGGGGGAATATGAAAATACAATGCTTTCGCTATCATAACATCATGTCAAGGCCCAGGAAGATACTGGATACCGAGTGAATCGCAACAGCTATTCGTCTAGGCACGCTCAATCTGAGCCAAGCAGTCCTCAAACTCACTCCAATCCTTCATAATCACCTTGACACCAAGGTCGGTGAGAACCTTGGCCATCTCCTGCTGCTTCGAATCACCGTTGTAGCTGCCGACATAGCCAATGACTGGAATGCCGGCGCGGATGGCGCTCAGGGAGCCCGACTTGCTGTCCTCAATGGCGACGACCTCCTCGGGCTTCTTGTTGCGCTCCTTGAGAGCGTGCAGGTAGATGGCGGGATCGGGCTTGGAAGTCGGGGTGGGGAGAGAAGTGGCCGCGCTGTACACCGCATCCTCTTCGAAAAACTTGTCCTGTCCGACCTTCTTGATGGAGGCCTTGACACGACGCAGCGCGGACGACGACACCACGGCAAGGCCGTACTTCTTGGACTCGTACAGCTTCTCCAGCTCGGGCATGACCCCGACGCAGGGCTCGGCCTTGGCTTCCAGCTTGGCAATCACGCGGTTCTCCTCCTCCTTCACGTAACCCTCCAGCTCCTCCTTGGTCATCTCGAACTTGTACTTGGCCTGCAGGGAGACCATCATGCCGCGGAAGTTCTGGCCGACGAAGTCCTGGATGAGCTGGTCACCTGTGTACCGGTCCGGGATGTTGTGCTTCTCCAGGATCTCATTGGCGAGGTCGGCGCAGGCTTCAAAGGCTAATTCTTCCGAGAGGACGAGGGTGTTGTCGCAATCGAAGAAGATTTCGGTGATCTGCATGCAGGGTGAGAGGATCAGCAAATGAGCAACATGACAACTTTCCAACGCAGCGGGGTAGCACTAACCTGAGGCATGCTGGGCAGTGGGGGTCGCTGTAGATGTAAAGTCTTTTATGAAGCTCAGAGAGTGGAGGATGAAGATAGAGAAGATGGAATGGAGGGGGAAGTGAAAAGGCGGGGAGACTATTTAGACTCGTGGTGGCTGACTACCTGAAAACAAAAAGCTGAGAACAAACAAGACGCGGGGCATCTACATTGTTTAAATAAGGGGAGGGGTAAGAAAAGAGTACATCGTAAGCGGGTGAGTCTTCAATGTTTACCAGCCTTTCCCCCACTACGTCGTACTAATTCAAGGCACACCAATGTTTTTCTGCTGGATGAATGACAATTGCCATGGCGGAAAGCAGGCTTGAAGCGGGGAGTGAGATCATAGCCTCTTCCAAACAATCCACAGCCAGCCTGCTTTGGGGAACGCTCGGATGCCCCTCCGCTTAGCCCGTCCAGGAATAGTTTTCCCAGCCCCGGATGGAAGACCACAGAATCACTTCAGTACAACCATGAGATTCTATCAACCCGTGATGTACCTGAATGTATGGTTCTGACCATATCAATTGTAAACAGAGCCCCTCCTTGGACCCTCTCTCGACAACACTCTTTCGGACTGAATCACTACGGAACTACTGTTTGCTGCCCGTTCACAATCAAAATCGCGCAGAGCCCGCGCATCATGCCGTTTGGCCTACAAGTCACCCGGTACTCTCATGCAAACGGTTTGGAAACGCGGAGTACAGTATTCCATTTTCTAGCGCTGGGCCATTATATGCGCATGGACGAGTATCCCTCATTGCCAAGCATGGGGGTTCCAATATCAGCTCATGTTATGCTATCACTCCTGTTGTGCTGAGCCTACACATGTTGCTCTCGGTATTAGCATGGACCATGGTACTAGGTATCGTCCGAGGTACACTACATTCGAAATCGTGCTAACCGCCAATAGCAGTGTCCAGGTTGTGTCCAGGTTGGTTTGTCTCATGTTGCCGTCCTTCTCCGATGCTTTAAGCAGCAACTGAACATCCTGGCGGCGTGCTAGCCACAAACAATGCTGCGCATAGGTACAGTACGGTCCAAATGGGCTACTCAACTAATCGCTCACTCCCTACTAGGTACCCCACGCGCGTGTCCGTTTTAGAGTTTGAGTCCTTCGTGCAGACTGCTCAGTGGCCTGTTTGAAGCGCAGATGCAGCGATCCTAGTAGCCTTGCTTGCATGACAGCCCCCCCCCCCCCCCCCCACATTGTCACCATCATGTTGAAGACTGACGGATGCTTCCCTTTTCGCCGTACCAGGCTGGAAACCTGTTTCACCAGTCATTCTGCCTCTGATCCCCCTCTCTTGAGAACCCGACTGCTATCCCCAGAGCCAATCTAAATCTGCTCTCGAGGCATGAGCTCCGCTTGCTAACCTGGTCCAGTGGCCGTGTCTTTCCGCGCCGCAGATCAGCAGCCATTCAGTCTCGGGCTCGATCAGCATACGACTGCCAGTCTTTGTGATCTCTATTGAATTCAGCGCCCGTGCGACTTCGCATGATGCATCCTGCGCAGCCTACTTCTCGATCGATTAAAAGCTTTCATCATGCAGGTGGGAAGATCATGAGTAACATCAGTAACAAATCGTAACAGTTATTATATTTCAGAGGGTCTCTAATCCTAGGCACGGGTATTCATCATGATATGTACTGCAAATCTACTCGTTCTCCACGGCCTCAACGATGGCACCGCCGCTGCCCTGGTCAAGACCATCCAGGACGTTCATATCCTCCTTGCTGATCTCGAAATCAAACACATCGGCGTTCGAAGCGATGCGTTCGGGGGTCTCTGACTTGGGTAGAGGAACCCACTCCTTCTGCAGTGCGTAGCGGATCAACACCTGCTGGGTGGACTTGTTGTACTTCTGAGCCAGCTCGACTAGCGTGGGATCGTTGGCCTTGTAGTTGCGCACAATCGGGCAATAGGATTCGACGATGATCCCGTTCTTCTTGCAGTAGGCATCGATCTCGCGCTGTTGACACCAGGGGTGGAGCTGTAAGAGAATGTCTTGAGTCAGTAAAGGGTGTTTTTGTTTCGGTCAAAGTACTACCTCGCAGTGGGAGGAATCACGACTCACCTCAATCTGATTAACGTGCGGCGGCCAAACCTTGGCAAATGACTTCAGCTCCTCGATGTGCTTCACGCCGAAATTGCTGACGCCGATGGCCTTGGTCTTGCCTTCCTCCAGCAGCCGCTCCAGGGCCTGCCACAGCTCCTTCCGACCGGCGGAACCGGACTTGGAGCTGTGAATCAAGAACAAATCGACGTATCCATCCTTGCCTCCGATCTTCTCCACGCTGGCCACCAGTTTCTCGTAGGTGGCCTCGGGCGACCCGGCGGGGCTGAGGATCTTGGTGGTAACGAACACGTCGCTGCGGGCCAGGCCCGACGCGCGGAGGGCGTCGCCGACCTCCTTCTCGTTGCCGTAGAATTGCGCGGTGTCAATGTGTCGGTACCCGGCCTTCAGGGCGTGGGCGGTGGAGGTGACGCATTTGTCGGCGTGGGAACGGTAGACTCCGAAGCCGAGGCGGGGTATCTGGACGGAGGAATTGGGGAGGGGCAGGAGATCAGTGATGGTGTATTTGGGTGACATTGTTGCGGGTGTTGCTTCGAGGTATTTTCCGTGGGAAAAGCTATCCAAAAGAATTGTAAGTGCTATAAGTTTTTATGTGATCTTGGGTTGATTATGAATCAGATTGAATGAGATGGAAGATGAATCAGATTGAATGAGATGGAAGAGAAAGAAAGAGCTGTATGGAGGCGAGTGAATGTTTTCCGCCGCGGGCCCCATTCGACCCGGATGATATCATCACGCCGGGCGGGCGCTAGCCCCGTTTCTGCGATGGTATCATCCTCACGGGCCACTCCAGCCGACACGTCCACTTCCTTCGCTTCATTATTATTCGAGTGGTGCATTATTCTTCGATCCTCTATGGCATGCTACATCTGAGGAAGAGCACTCCGTGGACAACCTTCCAGCGATTCCCTCGACTGGACCACACTTGCTTAGGTCTTAGGTGATATATCGACTTTTCGGCTCGCCCGATCCCTCTGTCGCCGCCACAGAATATCTGAAGCCAAGGAGAGCAACCTCTGCGGTACGGTACCTTGCCTATCGTGCGATTGCGATACTCAGACAATGTTTTGGCACAGTAAAGTCAAATTCCGGTTGGGAAGAGCCTATGAATCATGGCAGGGCGTGGTGGGCTATAGTGGGCGACTTTTATATGAGTGTGAGTCTGAATGGCAAGGAAATTGACATCCTCAAAGGGCTTTATTGCCTTTATGCTCATCGACGTCTAAAGATCAACGCAGTTCACGATGAATGTAGCCGTCTTTGGGCCGTAGTTAGTAACTTATATGATCAGATGTAGGTAGACAATGCCTTAGGGATGATCTACATTGCCGCACCCTCTGAAACCCGTAAGACATGCACTAGCAATGGAAAATAAACATCCCAAGACAGCTCAAAGAGGAGCAGGCCGTAGAATCCAGCCCTCTCGAGTGGAACAAGTCGTTGACTAGGGGTGGGTCGGCAAGAGCGAAGATTCCGATCAGCGTTTCGGAGAAAGCCATTGCCAGAAACCCGATGTTGAGAATGTAGGATCCTGTATGAGTAGATAAATAAAGAGTATATCCATAGTACTTTGTGGAGAGGTGCTTTCTTCTGATCTGCGCTCAACTAACCTGTTTATTCGACAAATTGGAGAAATTTGGATGGGACAGAGAGTAGGAGGTAGGTAAATCTGGCGCTGTAAAGTGTTGTGATGCTAAAAACAGAAACATGAAGAATGTCGAATCTGCCGGCACCCAACCATAATGATTGATTAAGAGCTGTCAATGGCGACTCATGAGGATTTGCCCAGTAGGTGTTGGACTTCCACCGTATTTACTTACCTATGTAGGCTTTAGTATCTTATTCCCCTGAATCTGCCTGATGCTACCTGACCTGGCTGTAATACACTCAAAATCATGTACGGTACTGTAGAATGTCTGGTTCAACCGGTAGCAGCCGACTGGTTCCAGGTTACTCTTCAACCCACTGGTTGCTGTGGGGGTGAAAGAAGAGGGGAGAAAGAGAGAGGGGGAAGAAGAGAGGGGGGAACTCGAAGAGAGAAGGTTGACATTGAATGCCACCAAAGCAACACCTGCCAGTCAGCCCCTTTATCTGCTTCCGAGTAAGTTACTCGGAGCTGTAACTCCATCTGTTCGGATTGTACCTAACGTCCTATCTTTCTTTCTTTGTTTTTCCCCAATCTGACGGGCTGCCTGATTCTTTTACTCTTTACTCTTTTACTCTTTTACTCCTTTACTCTTTAAACCTCCTTCATCCCAACCACACTCCCAACTACCGACAAAACGAACCACCAGCGAATCGTGTGTTACAACGCACACTTCTAATCTCTTAGTGCTGCGGGCCTGAAGATCCTGCCTTGCCTTTTCCATTTAAGTCACTTGCATTGTCAGAAGCGCCCCATCTGCCCGAGTCTCCGTCCGCTGCCGGCAACAGAAAGCAACAGCCGCCGCTCGCTCAGTCCGTGCTTCTCATCTGCAAAAAAACCGCCCTTCTCCGCCCACGCCCTGGATGATTACTTCCATCTACAGCGTTCACCATGTTGGCGGTTGAGAAACACTGGATTAATGTACAGCAGAAGACCTTCACAAAATGGTGTGTCGATCCCCTGTTCAAAGCAGTTGGGTGGCATAGCACGTTTGGGAGATACCCCTCCAACTTCAGTTCGGGCACTGCACTGCTATCTACCTCGACTGACTGGGTTTCTTTGTTTACTTGCACTCTACCCAGCCCACCAAAGTCGCATGAACTGACACCACACCCTTCCCTAGGCTCAACGACAAGTTGAAGGTCCGAAGAATCTTTATCGATGATTTAGTCGTCGACCTCTCCGATGGCGTGAGTTTACTGATCTATACCTATCCCGATGCCGCGCGGAGAGCCCCCGAAACCAGCACCACTAGGAAATCAGAGGAGAGTCGGACTGTTGACACCGTTTCTTGTGGAATCTCTATAGGTCATCCTTATCCATCTACTCGAAATTCTCGGCGGAGAATCGCTCGGCCGCTACGCTTCGAAGCCAAAGCTCCGTGTGCAGAAATTCGAAAATGTCAACAAGAGTCTTGACTTCATCAAAGGACGGAGGATTCAGATGACCAATATCGGCGCCGAAGATGTCGTGGACGGCAATAGAAAGATTGTGCTGGGTCTGATCTGGACTTTGATTCTTCGATTCACTATCAGTGACATCAATGCGGAGGGTATGACCGCAAAGGCGGGTCTCCTTCTGTGGTGTCAGCGCAAGACAGCTTGCTACGAAGGTGTGCAAGTCCGTGATTTCTCTACCAGCTGGAACGATGGGTTGGCCTTCTGTGCGCTTTTGGACATCCACCGCCCGGATCTGATCGACTTCGATGCCCTGGATAAGAAGGACCACCGCGGAAACATGAAGCTCGCCTTCGACATTGCTTCCAACGAAATCGGGATCCCTGATCTGCTTGATGTTGACGACGTTTGCGATGTTGCGAAACCGGACGAAAAGTCGCTCATGACGTATATCGCCTACTGGTTCCACGCCTTCTCGCAATTGGAACGGGTTGAGAATGCCGGACGTCGGGTCGAGAAGTTCATCAACAACATGCATGGTGCCTGGGAGATGCAGAACTCCTACGAGCGGAGGATGAAGGAGCTGCTGCGGTTGATTGCCGCGCAACGCGAAGCGTGGAAGACAGCGTCCTTCGAGGGTACCTACAAGGATGCGAAAGAGCAGGCTCACCAATTCTCGCTGTACAAGAGAAACCAGAAGCGCCAATGGGTGGCCGAAAAGTCGGATCTTGCGGCTCTTTTGGGAAACATCAAGACTAAACTCAGCACTTATCGTCTCAAACCATACGAACCTCCAGCTGAGCTTAGTCTGGAGGTTTGCGATGAGCAATGGGAGGGTTTGACCCGCGACGAGCACGAGCGTAGTCAACTCATCAACGAAACGATCCGAGATATCAAGAATGCGCTCCGTCGTTCGTTCGCGGACAAGGCAAACGACTTCGCATTGACACTTAAGACGCTGTCCTTGGCTATATCTGGTCTTGATGGCGATGTAGAAGACCAACTAGCCCATGTCAAAAGACTCAATGATAACCTTCCTCCCCTCGACGCATTCCTAGATACCATCGCGGCTTTGGACGAACAGTGTGCGGAAGCTAACATCGAAGAAAACGATTGGACGACATACACCCTAGATGAACTTTCCTACGAGTTGAGTTTGGTCAAATCGAGCATCTCTAAGAAGCTGGCTTTCCTCGACAACCAACTCGTCGCCCGCAACATGACCAACTTGACCCCCATCCAGTTGGAGGAGTTCGAGTCGGTCTTTAGACATTTCGATCGCGACTCATCAAATACACTTCTTGAGCTCGAATTCTCCGCTGCACTTGCAAGTCTGGGACTTGTGTACGACGAGGAGGAGATGCATCAGGTTTACCTTGAGACATGTGGGCCAGCTCGGCTAGCTCAAAATGCCGGTGTCAGCTTCGAGCAATTCATCCATTTTATGGTCAGCGTGGTGGAAGATCAGAATTCCGCCGAGCAGGTCTTGCAGAGTTTCCGAGAAGTCGCGGATGGCAAGGTATGTACTACTTATTCCCCTTCGTGGCTCCTCTCCTAGTATTGTGCAGATGAGACTAATGATGCGCAGCCATACGTGACCGAAATTGATTTGCGACACTCCCTTATCCCCGACGAGGTCATCGATCACCTTGTACAGACAATGCCACCACACCAAGGCCCCGACTTGCAGGAGGATCGCGATCTCCCCAAATATGACTACATCAGCTTCATGGGCAAGATGATGGAGTACAATGAGACCCAATTGAACACACCTGCCAATGGTGAAAGCTAATGACTACTTGACCATTCTTCCATCATCCCCTCTTTTTCTTCTTTTATTGCATGATTGGCTGCATTGCACACCCGGTGTTCCTCTGTTTCGCTTTCCTTTTTCCATATCCATATCATCTGCCGGACATTGCTGTTAAAGGTTGCGATTGGTGTTATCTGGAGCACAAAAAAGAGGGTCCTCTTCAAGGTTCGTTGTCATTCCAGATATGTACGATTCTTTCTCTGTGTGGGTAGAAGTAGTGTTTCTCAAGAACGTGAATAGAATGTAATTGTTGCAATCCGTCCGGCACTTCATGAAAGGTGGGAGATCACGTGCACGAACAGGGGGGTGGACAAACGTCCCGGCCTGGATCCAATCCCGGGCTGCAGCTTCCGCCGTCCCTTCTTCGCCTTCCCAAGTTCTCTTATTCATCCTTCATTGACTTGAATCCTCAATCGTTCCCGCAGTGCAGGCGCTGTTATTCCCTGCATTTCATAAGTGTAGTCTTCTATTCGCCTCTCGCAAAAGACCTTATTGTCTCCGACAGCTTTCAGAATGGATCGTAGTCTCGACGAGATCATCGCCGAGCGCCCTGTAAGTTCCCCGGAATCAACTTCACCACCATACGGACTCTGGCCTGGAGCACTGTCCACTTCATCTGGGACTCTGCTAACGGATTATTGCCCAATCTATAGCAAAAACAGCAACCTCAGGATCGTGGCCGTCGTCCTCCTCAAGGCCGTCCTTCCCAAGGCCGTCGCCGTGATGGCGTAAGAAAGGTATGACCGTGTTGCTTCATGGCTCTCCGGCCGACGCCTCGCAATCTGGACCCCTCCCTGACGACACGACTGAACAGGTCCTTCCTCCTTGTCTCCTTCCGAACTTTACTCGCGCATCATGATAAGCAATATCCGCTGGCCTCGTAGCACCGTCTCGCACAGACACACACGGCCATGCATCGCTGCAGAAAAACAAGATGATGGAGCTGTGTTTACACGAGTATATACTGTGACTTTCGAGCTGACCTTGTCTCTCTATTTCGACCACAACAGTCTTACAGAGAAGATCGCCCCGACTTGGATCTGTAACTGCACCCCTTCCCCTGGCTGCGACGGTCACCATCAACTCACCAGGGTAACTTGTTTGCTAACCTTTTGTCTTCACATTGATAGCGATTGGGTTCATGACAAATACGAAGACGACAGAGATGGTGCGTTTTGACCTTCGAGTAGTCCTTAGCCCTCCTCCTCTTCCTCCTGCCACTATCTCAGCAATCAACACGACATGCTAGTGTCACATGGCCGAAAGCAATTCTTAACTCAAATCCTTCAGCCCGCCCGTCCCGTGCCTCTCGACGCCCGCGCGGTGACCGTTACTCTCCCGAGCACGAACAGTATGTTCCACATTATCATTATAGCAAGCACTCTGATTGACCTTTGACGATAGCGCATCTACCGGAGCCAAGCTTCGTGTCGAGAATATCCACTACGATATCAACGAGACTGACCTGGAGGTAAGATGCCTTTGCAGACATTGTTTTGCCTTCGCCTGTGCATGTCTGATTCGAGCTCTTGTCTCTCCTCTAAAGGATCTTTTCACCCGCATCGGACCTATCAGCAATGTTTCCCTCGTCTACGACCGGGCCGGCCGCTCCGAGGGCGTTGCCTTTGTAACCTACAACCGTGTCAGCGACGCGCGCACAGCCATTAGCGAATTTGACGGTGCCAACGCTAAGGGTCAGCCCATCCGGTTGACACTCATTGGTAGTGGTGGCAGCAGCGGAAGACGAGACCGCAACCCTTTTGACAACGTAGAACGTCCCAAGGGTAGCCTGTTCGACCGTGTGGAGCGCCCCCGCGATCGTAACGCTCGCAGTCTGAGCCCTGGCAGCAGAAGCGGTAGCCCCGACGGCAACTCCCGGCGTCGTCGCGGTCGTCGTGGCGCCGGTGGTGGCGGTGGTGGTGGTTACCGCCGCAGCGACGTCACCAAGCCGCCTCCCGAGCACATCGACAGATACGTTCCTGGCCAAAGATCTCCCGCCCGCAGACCTGCCAATGGTGGCAGTGGTGGTGGTAGACGTCAGCAGGGCGATCGCGATACCCGCGGTGGGGAGGGCCGTCGCACGGTCAACGGTCGACCCCGCAAGACCCAGGAGGAACTTGACGCCGAGATGGACGACTACTGGGGTGGTTCGGCGAACGCCGGTGCTGGCGCGGCCGACAACCAGACGGTTCCGGATGAGCCGCAGCCGATTGCTCCTGCGTCTGCGGCAGCAGCTGGAGACGATGACATTGACATGATCGAGTAAAGCGTCAACTTTGGAAAACAAATTTGCGAGTTTACAGGGTGGGTTAGGTTGTGCAAGGGAAGGCGTTGAGTGATGATCCCGATGTTTTTGTGTAATTAAATTGAAAGAAAGGATCTTGGTTTTTTTTTACCGGACACAATTCCAAGAAACCGAATTATCAACTAGAAAGATTGAAACCCTACTTACTACTCTATGATCCAGTTGACAAAGGGCTACTCTATCCAGAAGTAAATAGGTAGACCCATGTTATTTTCAGTGAGAGCCGTAACTAGGATATGATAGTTCTAGGCAAAACAAGACAAGTAATGGTATGTGGACAAACCCCCAAAACCCCCCCTTCCCCCCCCACTTTCCAAAAAAGCGAAGGCTTTCCTTCCTGCTGAAAGGTGTGCCGTGTGTCTCTTTGTGTATGTATAAGTGTGTGCGTGCGTGTGTTGTCTGTGAAGATAAGGCAATATCATATCTTCTTCTTCCCCATGTTGTCCAATCACTCATTGACCATGGTCGGGTATAGACGAGAGAGTCCTTGATCACGATGCTGCATGCTGCTGCTGCTGCTGATGTTGATGATCATGTTACCAGCATCATGCCCCCTTGTCTGCTTGCTAGCATATCGACTTCCTTTTTCTCTTGTTCGGTTTGCTCAGAAAATCCACCGTCTAGGAAAAAGGCTAGGCTAGAAATCTAGAACGAGATACTACTAGACACTGCCAGGACTAGATTTATTGGTGGGGGGAGTGGGGTGAGGGGTCATCACCGCCAAAGACCGTAGGGTTCCCTGCATGCTTTCCAGAGTTTGATGGTTCCATCTTCGCTTCCGGTGCCGTAAAGCTTGCCGTCGGGCGAGAAGCTTACGGACCAGATGGGGCCGTGGTGGCCTTTTTGGACTTCTACATGGGATGTTAGGACCGTAATTTCTTTGTGGGGGGGATTGGATTGGTTTGAAGAGAAGAAGGGACAAGGGTGAAGGCGGGCAGGCACCTACCGAGTTCTTCCCCGGTGAGCAGGTCATATACCCGAGCCCAGGTATCATCGGCACTGCCGGTGACCAGACGACTGGTTTCGTTGTTGACCGCCGCGCTGGCGACCTCGTATCGGAAGTCCATCTTCTTGAGGAGGCGGCCGGGGTTGAGGCCGTCGAAGAGGTAGACGGACTTGCCGGCGGCGACGGTCAGGATGCCCGCGTCGTTGGGCCGCACGGCCAGGGTGTTGAGTTCGCAGCTGCCGATGGGCCCGTCGACGGTGTACTCGACCACCGGGTGGCGGGAGCGGAGGTCCCACCACCGAATCTTGCGGTCCTCCGCTGCCGTGGTGAGGATGTTGTAGTCTTGGTTCCAGACGATGGATTTGATGGTGCCACCGTGCACGCCGGGTCCGATCTCGTAGCTCGTCACGGTGGATGGTTGCGTGCCCTCGGCGGGGGTGGAGGCGCCCGTGGCGAGCGTCGGCGACGAGCTGTTACTGCCACCGCCGCTGCTGCTACTGCTGCGCGTGAGGTCGAAGATCCGCAGCTTCTTCTCGTAGCCGCCCGTGGCCAGGACGCGGGGCGAGGGCTGCATGGGGAATGCTACGGCTCGGCAAATGTGCGAGTGCTGGAGCGTGTGCAGGCATTCGCCCGTGTGAGTATCCCATACTTTGCTGTGGGGTGAATGTTAGTTCCAGAGCTGGCTGGCTTCGGACGATTGCGCGGGTTGGGAACCTACGCGGAAAAGTCGGCCGCAGCAGTTGCGGCGATGGTGGCGTCAGTGGAGAGACGTGCCTGCCAGACTGCACCTTTGTGACCCAGGAAGGTTCCAATCCTGGATTGGTGATCATTAGTCTGAGAGCCAAGGTCTTTGGTTCTAGATGTGGAAGTTGAACGAACCAGTCACCTGTAATACCATCGCGCAGCATAGGATTGTTATCTGTGCGGGTGAATTAGCGTGCCAACCTTCATGAGGGTCCGTGGCGGCTGCGCAGCGTAGCGTACCTTTGCATGCGGAGATGAGGTAGTACTGGTCATCCTCAACGGTGGAGGAGAAGTTGATGTGCGGCACAGGACGGGAATGTCCATGGCATGTCAATGGCACAACTTTGGGAATATCTATGAGATGTTAGTCATGAGCAAAGGTGCAAAGAGAGAGATGAAGACCTCGAGACTCACCAGCAGCCATTTTGAGCTTTTCTATCTGGAGATTCTTTATAACAAGATCTTTGGGTATTGATGTCGCGATCAGTTGCGGGCGGCCGTTAATGTCAAGCAATGGTTGTCTTCAACAGCAGATATACAAGCTGTTTGAACAGAGATACAATCGGAGAACCAAGATCACGGATTTAAGCAAAGGATGAGGGAGATGAGTGGATGTAGAAATACAAAAGGAAAATCGTCGATCTCGTCAAGTCATCAATTGGCCCAAATAGTGGGGGGTGGAGTGGGAAGCTCTAAGAATGGGTTGCAGGAAGTTGAGGGGGAAGAGGTCGAACTGTACAATCGCACACTGCAGGGCTGTACAGAGAAGGATTGAGAAAGATGATAAATGGCAACTCAGTTCTACAACACACAGTCGAGGGGAAATTTGAGCCCAGCAGGGGGGTCGGAAGAGAGGAAAGCGACGCAAATCAACGGGATGATGTGCTCTTTTTTTGATATTCGCAGATCGCCTTACAATTAATTCCCCTTCCATCCCCGAGCTAATCCTATTTGGGCTTAGATCGCCTACACGTGAGAGACTCTAATCTATGCATCTCAGCCACTGTAAGACTGTATAGTTACTCGACATATCGATGAGTATCTTGAATCAACATTTTGTCAGGTAGACTACATACATCCACTACAATTATTCTTATAGATATCATCAATCAAGAGGTGCTACTATGACTATATTGTACAATGATATTGAGGTACTGTAACTCGTGTTAAGGACTTGCGTTACACCCAGCATACCAATTCTACTCAGTAACGTTATTCTTCCACCTTCAGACTCCTTCAGTGGTCCACCATTGAGGAAGTCTTATCAGTCTTTGGATATGTACAGCTTAAATCTTTCGTAGTTACCTATCTACCAATCCAACCATGACTCCTCCTATTTAGCTTATCAACCACTGCTCCGATTCTAGCAACTTCTTCCCGCCCAAACCAGCCAGCTGAGCCACCGCCCACGTGATGGCCCGCGGAGGTACCATGGCCTCCCTAAGCAACAGCTCCCAGGTACTGCCTACTGACTGTTACCTCCCAACCAGGAACCACCAGGGTGCTCTGGAGGTTGATCTTTGCACTCTTATCGTTGTCATCCTTCTCATTCAAACCACCTCCCTCAGTCCCTCCATCTCCCCCACCAAGCTCTTTCACTTCACTCCCCTTGTCTAGGCTATCAGTTCATGTATGCCTGAGTTCAAGATCTCCGCTTCCCTGGAGGGCCACGGCGATGATGTAAGAACGCCCCCCCCTCCCGGCTGTTGACGCTGACTTTGCCCACATCCACCCT